ACAGTCTGAGGATTATTCATCGGGCCATAGGCTTCGTGTTATAGATGGAAAATGACAACATCGTCTTGCCTCACTGTGCAACTCTGCCTCGTAGAAATTACCCAACTAAATTGTTTTCCCAATTTAACCAAGACAACAATCTTAACAGCCTTAACCTTAAGCAAGTGCTGTGAGTGTCGAACATTACCATAAAAAATAATGAGCAGATATTTCAAGATGAGACATTCAGGCAGAAAAACGAATGAAACATTTTGCAATGAGCATTTTACCGCTACCTTCAGTATCAATTTTTATGACGATAATGGAAAGAGAATAACATCAAAATTCCTCATCGCATTTATAGAAAATCTCACCCGGCTGGCATTGCATTTATTTCAAAATGTAGATGATGTTGCAAATTAGGTTGCACTATAATACACTTTAACTGAATTCACGCAGAAAAAAACCCCCCAAAAAACTAAGAAAGCAAAACACTGAATATGCACTGAACGCGGTGAAGTCCTTGAGTTGAAAGCTTTTCTGGGCTTTTTGTGAAGAAAATAAAAACATCTTAAGCATTATGTGGTTTTTAAGGGTGCACTTGGTCTTTTGTTAATACCGGTTTGGATTTTTTATTTTTTTTTGCTGTGTGTGGTCACAATGAGAGCAACCAAGGACTTGAACCACAGTTTTTGGGTTTATTAATGGGTTAATGTGAATTAGCATGTAGCCAACAATAGACAGTATTTATGGAAAGACATCTGCTTCTGAAAATGCTGCATTATACTCCTCGTTCGCTGTAAACCGACAACAGCAGATTTTTTTTTTTTTTTGCATTTCAGCTGTTATGGGGCGAGAACTCCACGAGTGGCTCCTATAATTCAACTAATCTCATCCGTTCATCAGAATCTTTGCGGACGCCGAACCTACACAGCAGCAGAAGCAGGCAGAGGTACCTGTAGGCGAGCGCTGACAGTTGATTATAATTGGGTTGCCTCTGCTATGTCCAAGCTTTCACATCCCATCAAGAGAAAGGGCCAAAGAGACAGTTAATGCTGGACGACTGCTGCTTCACTGTAAGAGCAGACAGACTTATTCCCAGCTACTGCAAACAGAGAAGTCTATATAAAAATAAATACAGTCGGTTAGATTAATTTAAGGGTCTGGCAGTAACCAGTAACAGCAGCAAATTGAAGCACTCACACATTCATACCCAGTAACAACTTTCTTCTGTCGTATATCTGAGGAATGCTTATAAGGAATGCATTGCTTTCACAAAGTACCTGTCTTTAAAAATAAAAAGAACAACCACAGTAAGGCAATGTAAGATGAAAATCCTCTTCTGTACAAGGTTTGTCGATGGCATTTGAAACTGTTTTAGACTGACCTTATGTCTGCAAAGGCTGTTCCAGAGCAGAACAGCAAGTCTTTGAGTGTTGACTGATGTAAGGAACAAACCACAAGACAGACCTGCTCAGATGACTTCATAGTCACTTGTCCCCAAATCAATCAATTTCTTTCATTTGTCTGTATTTTAGAACTCTTCATTCTCATTTCAAAACACAGATTATTCCTTCCAGTAACTACTGGTGTCTTTCTGTTGGGAACAGATTAAAACTATGGCTGTGGATTTTTCACATTTTAACAACACAAGCTTTTTAGGATTTAAAGACCCCCTCTGGTGAAAATCCATTTTTTTGTACCTGGTTAACATGTCCTTATGGTGTTTTATTTATATGCTAGAAGACACATCATGAACAAAATAAGCCTACTAATAATGTACCGCTGACAGTCTCAGACATATAGATTCAGACTTGTGGGTTTTCATACATAACAAACCTAAAAAAATAAAATCCACTTGAAGGGTGAAACTTTCTGCATCATTCCTCTTCTACAGAATCAGTTTCAAACATTTAGGGCTGCATTGTAGCAGTGTTACATCTTGCCATTGTGTATCATTGTGTAGCTTTACAGTGTTTGGGGAGAGCTACAGGTGAGCTGGTGTGCCGCAGCTGCACCGAGCAGGAAAGGGTTGATGGAGTGAGAGGCGGAGACGTAGATCTATGCTACATCTAAGCCGTTTTAAGAATCTACAAGATTATTTTAATGGGGAAAAAACATCTAAATATGTAACGTTGATATACAGAGGTGAGTTTTGAGGTGTTAAATCGAATGTTGGATATTGTCACTTGTACATACCTTTAAACTAAACTGAGAGGTAAGGCTTGTGTCCACACTAACTAGAATCTAGACACTGCTTCATTCTAAGGAGTTATGAGCCAAAAAAACCCCACTGACAACTTTTGCATTTATGTATCCAGAAGCTGAAGCAGTAAACAAAAGCAGAAAACCTCCACACAAAGCAAGGCACCTATAGCCTCCTCCGTCTCAAACGTATCCCCTGTGCAGTCCATTAAACATCACAGCAACCAGGAGCTGTAATTTAGAGCGGAGCTATCTGCATTGCAACTCACATGAAGGCTGTTCCATCATTTACACACCAGAGGATATTACCTCTTTGCAGCTACAGCAGTAACATCTGCACAGATGCACTCCTGTCTTGTTAAATGACTCTTGGTTCAATATAAGCGTGTCTAATATACTCAGGAAAAAGGCTGAGCTTGACAAGACCCTAAGGAGGGTTTACCGTGTCCTAATTTGATTACGGTACTGCAAGAACCATGAAAGCAAACCTGCAGGCTAAAGAACCCAGATATCTCCCAGCGTGGTCAATTTGTACCATATGTAGCAAACAATTACAGTCAGTCTCTTCCCTGTGGTGTTTAAGAAAGCATACTCATAGATTTGACAGACTGTCACATTTGATTTGAAGTTAAATAAATTCAATGTTTTCCAAACTGTCAGTCAGACAGCTACGGGTTTTAAAACTTTAAGTTCACTATATCCTCAACAAGTCAGAGCAACAATCAGTCATTTTGCATTAAAAACTGCATTGAAAAACTTTGTGAGGTGCAAAGCAGTGGGCCCAGAGAGGCAGGAAGTGAGTCTACCACACACTAGTCAAGGGTCGACATTCTCCTCCAGTAGCCACAATACTCCTTCTCACCTGCATCGGTTTAGGCACAATAAACTTTACTTCTTCGTGGGTGAAGTGAAAATGTTCCTTGTTGTGTCTCATTACAGCTTACATAAGTAACTCTGTTTTGAAAATCAATGTTTGACTTGGAGCAACATTTCAGTTCTCTCAGGAACAATACACTATTAGAATAAATTAATCTGTGCAAAACAAAAAAAACCAAAATTCCCAACTAAGAGTTACTGTTTCTGATGCCAAGGCTTTGGAGGATTAGCGGCACAAAACTGCACAACACAGGAGCGTGCGACTACAAGTACGATAAATAAGCTCATCACTGCCGTCGTCGTAACACAACAAACTCTTTCCGTTGATGCAAAGTTGTATCATCACACGGAGGCTGTAAAAAAAACTGCATAATAATGCCCCGTCATGTTCTTCGGGGCTGCAGTGAAAACAGTTTACTATCTGGCAGCCTACAAAAACTATGCGGCGGATTTTATATGCGAAAACAAATTTCGTTTTTCTTTTTTTATATTATGGTCAAAGTGCCACCTGCTATTTGTTTTGGAGTCCCAGTTTAATATGAAAGTGGACAGATGGCCTAAAAATGCTGCAAATATTCACTGTAGTTCCAACAAATGACAATGGAGGAGTGGCTTTGTTGTTCTATTAAAAGTTTTCCATCCAACGCATCCTATTCTTCCCTGCTGCCCATGTTGTGGATTCTGTGGGCAGGGCCACAAGTAGCACTTCTGGGTTCCCTGGAAAGAATGAAAAAAAATATTGCTCCAGGCACCTTTTGTTAATGATTAATCCCAGAGCACTTTTTGTGCTCCCTCTCCAGCTGCTGGCTCCTGAAAATCATCGCAAATTGTGGCACTATTTTTGCAGGGAGTTGATTAATGAGGAGGCAGGCATTATACATTTTGATAGTCTGAACTGGTGCAGCTAGAGCAGATTATCCCTGCAGCTTAGGTTACCATGGTGACACCTCTATTAAAAGTGAGCCAAAACACCTCGATGAAATGCTAAACTAGCTCGTAATAACCTCTAAATCGTGCACATTTACTATGTTAGCAGTACAAACTTCTACCTGTACCTTTACAAGGGCTTGTTAAATCTAAAGTGATGATTTATTCGTGTTAACAAATCCTTAAAGCTATTTTAAAAAAGCAGATTTTTGGAATTCCAGATTGGCTGGTGTGTTTTCTAATTGGTAACAATAAGGTCCTACTGTCTTTTTTGGTATGATGCCCCATCACCTTAAAAAATACATTAACAAATAGCCTAATAAGTTGGAAATGAATAGATTTTGGTCCATATTTTTTTTTTTCCTGCTAGGTTAGCGGTCATGTGGTCAAATCAGTAATTCCTCACAATCTGTTGACACCAAAACTGTTCTCTTAACTGGCAAATACAGACATCAACAAAGCACCCGATTAACCATTGATATGATGCATTTTAACCTAAAAGAGGTTTTATGACTTTTGAAAGGCAGAAAAATGGATGAATCATCAACTAAAACTGACAGACAGACAAATAAAGACTCTAGCGACTATTTACTTTGAGGTAACAGGCACTTTGTTTATGACATATTAACTTTGGGGTTAAGTCATGCACGTTCGACCAAGGATTACGCAACATTTATAAACATATATTTTAAATAAAGCTGTCAAAAAAAATGTTTTGGATGAGTTTAGAAATGCTTCCTGTGTGGCAGGTAAAACAATTATCTCTTTAAACTCAGACAATTAGACCAGTTTTGGGGGGAAAAAAAACACTTGAGATGACACGAGGAGCTCTTGAAATATGCGGCACATACAGTCGGATTTAACTGCGATTCTAAATTGGCTGTGGGTGCGAGAGTGAGCTGTGGTTGTGTGTCTCTCTGTCCAGGATGAACCCTAGAGGCTCCCCCTTCATCCCCCACCCATGTGCGATCCAGGAGCTGATCAACTCCCAACAGCATCGACAACAAGACTCATTTCAGAAACAGACAGTGATTCATGGTTTACTTAAACTTCGGGTACAGTTAACACAGACTCTGATCAGTGTAGCACAGACACGACATTTTCCTTCAGATGTGCTGGTGTGAGAATTACCCTTAAAGGCAGAAACAATCCTGCTTGTAGTCGGTCAGCAGCTCAGACTGGCTACTGTCTGGGGGAGCTGAGAGATAAACCACACAAGGATCAACACGCTATGAATAAAAGTAACATTCTCTCTACTTGTAGAACACTTTAAGACAGATGTGTAAAGCTGTTTCATAGAAAACTATACATTCTGTGGGGGATTTCTGGAGCTACAGGTTTAATCAATTTATCTAACTGAAAGGCCATTTAGCAACAGAGGGTGTTGAGGATTGTGACTTTAAGGCAATAAAATAGTCAGAAACCCATGAAAACTCGAACCAGAAATCCACAAGGGAAGTAGCTCCAGTAAAAACTAAAGGAGTGAAGGCTTTGCTATAGATTAAAGGCGGACAGATTATGTTCAGTAAAGGCTACTCTAGTTGTTTGCAAAGCAGTTATGTAGCAGAGCATGAGAAGGCGGACATCATTCAGGTCCAGGCTCACTACTTTTAATCTCCTCCACGCTGCTGAAATGAGCCGCCAGCTCCTGCAGCACGGCAGTCCTCCCCAGGTGATCGTTCCTGCGCTTCTCCATGATCATGTCCTCCAAACTCTGAAACTCCAGCACGTGTGAGTGTTTGTCCGACATGAATATTTTCAACCTGTAGGGCTGCTTGCCAATCCGTATCTCCCCACCCATTTTGAACTCCCTCTTGCCGAACCTGCACCAGGCTGCGAAGCACTCAGAGTTTCTCCAGCTCAGCTCTCGGTCCTTCAAGCCCACCTGCTCCATGGCGTTCTGCACCACCATGTCCGAGCCGAGCGCTTTGAATTTGTACAAGTCGTTCACAATCCGACATCTCCTGCCTTGGCTGGCGTCCGTCAGGAAGCTGTTTTTCACCTCGGCTCTGTGCAGGTGAACCACCTGGAAGTCGCCCACGTACACGGCCCAGTGCGGGTACTGCCCCGTGGCCACGAACTCCACCAAGTCGCCAGCTTTGCATTTGTTCAGCAGATTCTCCGGAGAGTAAACCTCCAGGCTGGCCGACTTTGCGCTCTTCTCGTAAATGCATTCATCTCTGTTGTAGACGGCGCACTCCACCTCGTCGCGCTGGTCGTACTGTTTCTCTTCCTGATTCGGGTCTTTGTCGGTGCCATCGACCGCGCATCCGTCCTCCAGCTCGTCGTCGTCGTTAGAAAATATGTACGAAACGCCGATCCGCGGGCCGTCCTCCGTGTCCACGCCGTTCGGGTCCACCGTGGGAACTTCTGCGTAACTTAAATGTGACAGCCTGTCCATCTGGTTCCCCATGCCGCTGCGCACCCGGTGGCAGCCTGTGTAATACGATCTGATGCCTGGAGCCTGTTACCGGTCGCCAAACATCACCACCATCTGCCACAGAGCCGCGCAGGGTGAAACTTCCTCCGCCCTGCAGTCGGACGCGGTTTCATCCAAATTACGCATACGAGTAGCTCCGTTTTCTGCGAGTGTTTCGACGGCCTCTTAGTTTCCCATCAACAAGTGGAGCGAGGAGGACAAACTGGTTTTAGATTCAGCGAGCAGAAATATCCCGCAGGTGTTGCCTCACCTGCTGCTTCCGTCCTGCGTAAAGTTCCGTCCGCCGGCTGTCAAACACGAAACCACGACTGAAATCCAAATCCTCGACACACGGGGACCCGCTGCCGTGTGTTCGCCTCCACCGCAGATGAACTCGTCTTCCGTCCTGATAGACGCCTCGCAGACTGCGCACTGTGCAACTACTCCAGGCTGATCTGTGGCTCGGCATCAACAGCGACTCTCTCCAGCCACACGCAGCTTCGCATTTAAAGCGATAGTGCGCGTAAAAATGTCACCGGTGCACCTTTAACAACCGCCTCTCATCTTTAGAGAGAGAACATTTTAGCGCCATTTGACATAAATAAAGGGTGTTTTTCTGAACAGCTTTGCTTAAAGAAGTTTTTTGTTTTTTTTGCCATGCATACAATAGGTTTGAGTAAAGTTCAACAGAAAAACAAGTTTAGTTCTTTAACTCCCCTCTGCACCACCAGATGTATTTATTTTTCATTTCAGGCCTTTTTTTGGTTGGTAGTGGCCTTGCTGTTTGCTGATCTTCACAGTTTTCTGTTTACATGAGAGTCACGTGGAGGATTCTGCATTGCTTTGAATCAAAAATAACAAATACTTGTATTATGTGAACGTGTAAGAGCAGAAGCCTCCCTGATGAATTCCTCACTACTGTAGACTAAGTATCCCTGATGACTGGAGATTTTACATTAGTATGTAAGAAACTAAAATTTGAACAACAATGAAATTATAATTAAGTTCTAACTTTGGTCCATTTACACTAAATTAACTGGCAAAAATCTAGTTTAAAAAAAATGAATCCAAATTAGTGTGTCTAACATTTATGTTGCATTTCAATGGCAAAATTTCTAAATAAAGTTATTCTTATGGGTAAGTAATAAGTTAATATTCAATATATACATATATTTTTAATACATGGACATTGTTTTTGAGGGGGCCTTCTTACATTGACCTCCCCTGTATTCAGTTTGTTTACTGCGCACAAAAACAGACAAATTACACCCTGGATGGATGCATCCCTAAATAGATGAGTGCTGTCCTGTTCCAAATGACAGAGCTCCACGGTGAAGAGGACAGTGAGGGGGTCCAGCATCTGTGGATATTTTTACTGTTTTGACCACCTGTCTGTCCTCGCGTGAACTGAAGCTGCACAGTCATTTGCTCGCTCTCCATCTCCTGGTGGGACCTAATGTCTCCATTACGTTTGTAGTGGCTCGTGGCCTGCCTAGGCTCGCTCTCGGTTATGGGCTATTTTCTCACCACTGTATCCCACAGGCGAGGGGAATGTGCTCAGTATGTCCCAAAATGGCACGCGCTGCTGCAGCGTCTGTGTGAAAACACCTGTCCTGGAAATAGCATGGCTGTGAGTGAGAGGGAGGAAGATGCTGAGGGATGTGAGCATGTCTGACAGGCTGTAAAAGAATCAATCCATGAGGAGGAGAGACAGAAAAAGCCTTTGTAGGGTGGATGAGCACGAGTTTGACCTCAGTACTGAGCTGGCTCCCCGCTGGAAGGACTGATTACAGCTGCAAAGTCATCCAGTACAGTAGTTTATACAGTTTAAACGGGGAGAGAGGCCTCACTTGACACAACAGACTCAACAGATTAGCACTGAGGCCTTTGGGCAGCGTTCCTTAAGACTATCAGGTTAATTAGGAGACTGAGCTTTCTTGGAGCTGCACAGGATCCCACACTGTTATTTCTCTGTAACCCTGTGTAATCCAGATCGAATGTTGTCCCTGGTTAGTAAGACTGAGCCTGGGTCATAAAGTTCAAATCGGATTCCTTATGCAGGTTTCCAGGTCAAGACGGGATGAGGGACTATCACACGACGTCAGAGTGCAAATGTACAATGTTCCGGCTTCCTCCTACGGTTCAAAGCATAGATATGTAGAATAAAGGCTAGATGTCTTAAGGTGGCGTTTCAAACGGGATCACCCTTCAGCCATCTTGATACGGGGAAGCTCTCTGGTGGAACCTGTGGTACGTGAAGGAAGGTGAGTGATCTGCACAAATGTAAATACTCTTATCTCGCTGAAATCTTGTCGGATTTAGAAACGGTTTGGTTTCTTACAAACGTTATTAACGTGGCTCCGATTCAAATTGCAAAATTACAAATAAAATACAAAATAATTAAAATACTGATTGTTGCTGGCCGTGAGAGTGTAACATAATTATCCATAAGTACAGTGTTATAACTACACCTCTGACGTTTATAACAAATCAAACCGTTTGAAAATCAGCAGAAAACTGAGCAAGTGATGGTTATTTTTAAAGTACATGCACCTCTACAACACAGTGTTAGGGTGAGCAAGCGTACCAAGATGGCTGCCGGTGTGGCCGTGCGATTCCATTGGTCGCAGACGAGACATCTAGCCTTTATTATATATATCTATGGTTCAAAGACATGTGTGGTAGGTATATATGTGATTCTAAAGTGGTCATAAATGGAAACTGGTTTGCACTTATACACAGCGTTTCTGTCTTGGTAATGCGTTACAATGTTTCCTATCCACCTATTACACACACCAATGGTGGCAGCGCTGCCTTGCAAGGTGCTCATCTGCCATCGGGGGCAACTTTTGGTTCAGTGATTTGCCCACTTTGGCATTCAAAGGGGCCAGGGAATGGAACTGTCAACCTTGCAAATAACGGACAGCCTGCTCTACCACCTGAGCCACAGCTGCCCACGTACCACGCCTCTTTCCCAATGTCAGCTGGGATACCCCCCTCTACAGGATAAAGTGGGTGTAGAGTACACAGTATAGATAATGGATGGACAGACTAACACAATGACGACAGTAGGGTCGACTTTTTCTCCAGGGCATAAAGGAAACACACATCAGCACAAGGGCACGCTTCAGTGAGCTGAAGTCTTACAATCACTACAGCATCTTGCTTGTTTAACAAAGTGTCTGCAGTCTGCAAATGATGATGAATCAAATCTATTACACCAGCTCATGGGCCACATACTGCTTTAGTAGTCAGAGGTCACCGACAAAGTGTTCTAGAGTACAACTGCCAGCAAATCAGTCTCACAAACACAACAGCAGCAGCAGGCCAGCATCCCCACTCAGACACAGACCTTCACCACTAAAGAAGCCATCAACGTACCAACGAGGAAGTCACGTGTTTCTAACATACAGCATCCAGGTCTGTGCCTGATCAACATTAAAGGCATGGAACCATAATCTCAGCTCTTTTCTCACAAAATAATGGATCTGGTTTAACATTTCACATCGTAGATCCTGTACTCTTAACTCCTCTCTCTTTCTCGCCTCCGTGGCTTGCACCTAAAGAAGGCGAGGAAAGGATGTACAAACTGAGAAATGAGAAGAAGTGCTGGGGTCTTTCAATCACACATAGTTTGATGACATTGCGAAGTAGCATGGGACCATTGGAGCTGTTGCCACCATTACAGATAAAAAGCTATCTGAAGTGACTCAGGCAGAAATCACAGAGGAGGCAATGTGGTAAAGCTTTCTTCACGGTACATTTAGTCACGTAGCTTCACATTTTATACCATTAGATGTGTCGACTACAGATACAGCCGCTGTAGCTAACGTTGTAGGGCAAATTTCTTTTGCACTCCGTGATATGTCACTGGCTTCACCGGCCGCGGTGGGTACTCGGGGCACGACGCCATTGACAGGCGACCAAAATGAAACGCACCACTATGAAATTACAAATTTCTCAGAGTTTGAACATTGTTGGAGACATTTGGGATAATGTAAGGGCACGAGGCAACAAAATACATAACGCTAGTCATTTCTAGACACTTTAATGCAGAAATGTTGCATCTTTAAGAAATGGTATGGTCCATTTTAGGGGTGTCCAAAATTGTACTAAGATTCTTGTGGGTTTGAATATGGGAAATATACTGTAACATTCAAGACTACAGGTAAGATGGGATAAATAAATGTTTTATTCCTCGTCCAACCTGTTGTTTTCTACCTTTTTGGAGGGTGCACAGTAACACCAGCAGCAGGTTACATTTTTAATTAATCCAATAAATAATGTAATTCATTTCAACTGCCATTTTCTTTTCCTCTCACGACACCGCAAGGTTTGTGGTTTCGAGTGAAATTTCTCGAAAGCTCTTCACTGTATCGACATGAAATACGGTACGTGGCCTCTTCAGAACAGACTTGCTCAGATAGATTTGTTTCTCCCCTTTCGTCCTCTTTTTTTTTCTTTCGCCTATTTCTGAGGCGCCTCAGAGTGTTGGTAAGTTCAACACAAAAGGCATCTGAAGCAGCCAGCACCAGGAGAGATAAACCGGCAACATGAACTGACCTGATAATGACGCAACATGAGTCAAAGGAAGATTATCTACTTCTAGTTTCACTTGAAATGATGTAAAGATGATAAAGCACAAGAATGCGGAGTGCAAGAGGCCGCTATCATTTCACCATTCACCGTCCTTTCATCAGTTTTGGCTCAAGTTTATGCACGTACTGTGAATGTGCACAATGTGTATTTTTTTTTTTTCTTTTTCTTTTTCTTTCTTCTCTTTTGGCTTTCCTCCTATTTCAGCATGAAGCCCTGCAGCAGTCCCAGTCTGACAATGCATATGATGGGAGTCAAAAATAACAAATGTGCAGACTGAATTCAGCAGATGTATTACACCTTTTCAGCTCAGGGTTTTATATCGGTGCACGCTCAAGGTGCTTGGAAAGAAACAGACTGTTAGAGTGGTGACACGCAGCCCATTTGACCGCTTCTTGGAGCTTCTTATCCTCGGGTGGCATGACCCAGTTTACGCCCCTGGTGCCCCCCGGTAACACACTGTAATTTGTGGTGCTGGGAAATTACTAGAGCAGGGAGGCCTGGGAGACATAGTCAATTAGGCAGGGCTCCACCTGTCCGGTGGGGGCACAGCCAGACAAGGACTGACACCTTAATCTTCCCCACAAAAAAAAAAGAAAAAAAAAAAGAAGTGAAGGCTTTGAAAATGTGTTTTCAGCAGCTTCACAACAGCATATCACATATTTGTGTTTTTCAGCTCAGTGTCCATTTAAATCTAGAAGGATAGTTGAACAAGTGCATACGTGAGGCAGATGGACAGAGCATCCGGAGCGCTGCGTCTTGTGCACCATCTGTTCCACCTGGCGTCGAAGACATCTACCGGCCCACTATCATGTTATGTGATTGGCCACAAGTCAGAGCCATCACAGAGTGGAAACAATGATTCAAAACCTCCAGAAGAATAGACCAGGAGAAAAAGAACAGACAAGAGATTTTCAAGGAGAAAAAAAAAAGAGTTTGCTCTTATTACATATTTATTTATATTTTCATATACTTTTTACATATTTATTTGTAATAATATGTATCTGGAGAAGATGGAGGAAGGATGGAGGAAGGGCATAGTGAAGGAATGTCGCTTTCTTCTTCTTCTTTTTTTTTTTAACCCATTTAATTACAAGAGCGTCATCATTATTAATTCAGTCAATGATATTCACAGTCCCATCAAACAAGCTACAACAAAGATCTTCTAAAATATAGGCTGACATATAAAACTAGCATTTTAAACACTGTGGTGGATGTATACCTGGGGAAGGATTGGGGGGGGATGACTGAGTAACTGCAATTAGATAACACACAGGCAGGATCGGGAGAGAACTCTTATTGTGAAAGGTAGGCGTGTATGAAAACACACCGGTGAGGTGTACAATACACACGCATACACAACATACACACAACAGTTTCTACACAGTCATCATGCTTTAACGGGACCTCATGTTAGTCTTTTTTTTTTTTTTTTCTATTTCAGCATCACGTTATTAGAAACAACTACCACAAGTGGGTCAAAAACTGCAGAAGATAGATTCCTTCAAAAAAAAAAAAAAAAAAATCTCTACAAAGTGGGTTTCCATTTTAAATGCAATAAAAAGCACTCTATATTCTCGGAGCCACGCTGAAAATTCATGACAGGCTTCAGACACTTTTTGGGCCATCACACTCTGAGAAGCTGGGCAAAGCATTAGCATTTCCATCCCCTGGGTCTGCGACAGCCTTCACAGCAAAGTTGCCTTCTCTCTAGACTACAAACCCCATTTTTTTCAAAACATAGTGTAAGCAGAATCCCTTGGAGAGTGTGGTGGGCTGGCCAAGAGTGCACTGCACTGCACACAAGCTGGAGTCGATCCAGAGAGAGATACTGGCAGGCAGCAGCGGCGGCTACAGAGTTGGGTCAAACGAAGATCTAACTGTTCCCGTTCTATTCAGTTCGATACGCTTTGCTGATCTTATCGAATCCTTGAACAGGGATGGCGGTGGCTCATTTGTGACGCAGTGTTTTATTAGTTTTATGCACTCAATCAAATGCACAGACATCACGAAAAACTTGCAAAACTTTTTGCTTCTTCAAAAAAAAAAGGAAGAAAAAAAAAAATCTAAAATGAAGCAAATCTAATGTGCAGATTAGATCCCAGGCCTGGTTGTTTATGATTGGCTGACGATAATAAGGCATTGAAATTAAAAAAGAACAGTAAAAAGAAGTTTAAAAAGTCATTATAAAGAGAAAAAGAAAATGGTCTTTGGTGTTTTCTGCTGAGAAAGAATGATGATAACAAATGATAAAAACAACAACAGCAGTTTCTCAAGATGCCCTGTCCATTTTGAACCTGTCTAAGTTTCCATAATTAAACACTTCCTCCTGGTAAACGTGAGCTCTAACATCATGTGCGCATTTGAAATGATCCAACATTTTAAAAAAACATTACATGACGTCACTTCATCCACAAGTTCGGAGAAATCCTGCACAGTGCAAATAATAAATGCCCCCCCGATATTGATTACAAGTAAAGAGGAAAAGTATTTTTATGGTACGAGTTGTGCAACAGTATCATGCATTGGATCACTGAACATGAGACGACACAGGGAGGCAGCGGGGTGGGGGTGGGGAGGGAGGGGGGAGGGAGGGGTTTGTGTTAGAACTGAACCTGGGAAGTCCAAAGACTTGGTCCTAGAATATGCATATTGTCAAATGATTCCTGAAGAAGTCTGTTCAACACTTCAATGTTTATTTTGCGGGTCAGTTTTAGAACATCTATACAATATCAACCACTTTACACTCTGCTCTCAAGGATCACAAAACATCCATCGATTGGAGGGTGAGGGTGCGGGTGAGGGAAGGGGGGGAGTCGGTGGAAAACAACGCTCATGTTTCCAGTTAAATCGTTTTCCAGGTTCAATGCTGTTTACCTGCATCACTGTTATATATCGTGATAATAGCACCACTCCAACAGATAACACTGCGTTGCTACGAATACGAGGAATCACAGAAAGGAGGGAGAAACAGCAAAATGGGGTACTAGTGTTTGCAAGGATGATTCCTCATACAGTAGGTAAATGACAAAGTGCTGACGGGCCTTAATCTTCCCGTGACTGGATGCTGACGGACAAAGAAGGTGGAATCATGAACGAGGGCGTTTCCTTGTGACCGTTTATGAAGATGCAGGACCGGACCGCAGACAAGAAATTCCCTCAGTGAAACGTGACGCTGCAAAAGAGGGTGGGTCCTTTAAAACGTGGAGACGCTGCTTCCTCGTGCGTAAATCTGGAAGTTTTGGTGGTGGTGGTGGTGGTTTATGTGGGTTGGTCTTTCTGCAGGGCTGAGATGTCCAGAGGAGGAGGGGCCCGCCCGCTCCATTCCCTCAGCTGCCCGTCCTTGAAGAGGAGATTGAGGGCGGGCAGGGGGACACCGGACTCCGCCGGGGGCTGACTGAGAGGGTTCGACACGCCGCTGTCCAGGTCGGAGGGCTGGATGCCGTCCTGCCAACACAGGGCAAAGGTCACAGATCAGAGCACTGCGCAGAGAGGATGATATGTGGGACAAGGAGACATTTCTCTGGGAGGAGAAAGTCGGGAAAGTGGACTGGCTCCTGTCTGATTTATAGCTCGTGGCGTCGTCACAAAGCGTGCGGCCCCTCCGGACACTCAATCATGCTGCTGCAATTTAGTGTGTGACGACAGGGCCACGGGGCGCACACAAAGAAGAGATGTTTAAAAGTAAAAATACGTAGATACCACATCCTTCCATTTATTTATTTAATTCTTACCTTTCTGTGTCAGTGTCTTGTATTGTTTTTTTGTTTTTTTTTATCTATCTTTATCCTCACAGGTGCAGGCGGAAAAGCACACTTCCACGCAACAAAACATTTGCAAATCAACACAATAGCTTATTTTTTTTTATATCAGTCTGACTCGCACATAACCCTCTTGGGCTACTGCACTCAGATTCAACTGTGGTAAATGCCTTCCATTGTTAGTTAGTTTTTTTTTTTGTCATCGACATCTTTCTTTTGTTTCTCCCATGACTTCAGGACACAACATATCCCACTGAATGTTTGTCGTTATTCAATAAAATAAATTGAACAGTCACTATAGCTACATGCAACGAGAGGTCTGTTTTAAAACTCACATGAAAAGACTTTGAGCTACGTCGGACTGAAGTGTGGTCTTTGATCATGAAGCTGTTTTTCAGTATTTTTGTGTTGAGGGTTTTTTTTGGACAAGCCAGAATCATGGCTCAATTATGCAATTATGTATGACCCCTCCCCCCAACACATAAAGATTATAACAACTAGAGCACATTAGCATCAGCGGTTTTCCCACTCAGAGTTACTACGTCGACTACAGTCGACAGTTTACCACCTAGCTGCTCACATGCATCCTCCCTGGGTTGCAGAAGAACAGCCCGGTTTCCTTATCAAACCATCCTAACAATGATGAGATGAGGAAGAGATGGACTGATATCGTGAAGAATGATGGAGAGCAGAGGATCAACACCTACCTTGGCCACGACCGTTTTACACCAGCAAACTTTACAAACTTTATTAACAGACAACTGGGATTCACAGATTCTGCTGGTGAACTGACCAGCTCCCTCCCTCTCTTCCCAACCTGCAGACCTCTGGGGTGTAACTTACCTTGTGTGCTTAATGTATTACAGTAGTTAACTTCGTCCAAAGTCGCAAAGTGGTAAAATATTCTGGATCTTTAGTGCGTGTTTGTGATTTCACAACTAACCTGTTTGATCACATAAAACAATCTCAAATACATTTCCATCATTAGTATGGTTCATTAGGGCTGGTGTAAAAGCTGTAAATCAGCATCTTCAGCAGATAAACCCAAAGCATTTCAAACCTAAACTACTGCTTGTTTTTTTTTTACTACTTTAAAACCTAATTCTATAAACTTGTAGAGTTTTTTGAACCATTCAAATTGGCTGGGTGGTTAATAACAGTTTTCTGAAGTGTCACAAACTCAGAACGCATATTTTTTTTTTACTGCTTAACGCAGACTTTAACACGCCTGCTAAATAAAGATGAACCTATTGGTGATTGGCAGACAAGATTTTTTTCTATTCAGCCAGAATTCTCAAGTGGTAACCTGAAGAAACAGTAGAGTGCTTTTACCTGGAATGACTGAACGAAGCTCAACACTTTGAGCGATAGCTTTCGGCTTGAGTGAAGTAGCTCTTGAAGGCTGAAACAACAACAAAGATTAAGTGTAGCACCTGCCACAACACAACACACACATATATACACTCCTCTCAATGTTTTAAACAAAAGTTCCATTTTTGATAATAGTGAGTGTTTTTAAATTTTTATTTTTTTATTACCTCTCGTTGCTGCACAGTTTGTGCGAGGCGATCTTTCGACACACTTTGCGGTTAAGCTCGGAACTGAAGAGGGGCATGCCAAAGCACAGTTCAAGAGGGACCCACTCATCTTCACATGAAAGGGCTGAAAGAAAGAGATTGGCAAGGGAGAGGAGGGATGGGTATGTCATAAATTACAACATGAGACACGCAGCATTGACAAGGACATCCTGGTTTTGAATCCAGCGTGGAGCTTTTGTCGCAATTTACTCTTCACTTTCTGACACCTTTACTATCTCCAAACCATACATACGTTAAAGTACTACTTAGAGAAATTCAAAAAAATAATAACAAACAGACACATTAACCAAAAAAGATACACCTACTGTCTGTCTTTCCTTTGCTTTCCCCATTGTTCTCCTCTGTCACAAGCTCAAACGACTCAGTGCTGCCGTTGGTGTCCAGGCCTCCACCTAGATGGGTGTCTCCTTGAAGAGAAGCAGCAAACCCACATCACCATTAAGCCACCGAGGGGCTGTTTCCGGCAAACTAGTCAGAACTAGATTACAGCTTGAACAACCTTCAGTTAGAAGCTTCATTAAATGCACAAATTTTAAAATGATTATTTTTTTTGCCTTTTGATGTGTGAAAATTGAAGGTTTGTCTGTGGAAATCAACTGTGCAGTGTTTTATGTAAAACAAATTCTGTGATTAGTTACATCAAGATTCAATCAGTGAATCTCAAGGTAAAGGCTAAGACTGTTCGATCCACGTCCATTAGCAAAGGCTATCGCAATAAGGGACACAATTATGCAGACAAACAGCATAATTAAACTGGACTGCGAGCAATATTTATCTAATTTGCACCATTAGTGCCGATGGCCATCACAGGCAGGGACATTGTTGCTAATTCAACTATACGTCTTCACACTGACTGTTCTAAGCGCGGGCACACATAGTCAAAACAGCGTGGGTGTGTTCGCTGCCCTTACCTCTGCACTCGGTCGTGTCGCTTGTCCTGCGACGGTGCCTGTTGTTGGAGTTCAGCATGGTGACGTAGCCGCACTGGTGCTCCAGGTCCACCTGCTCCTTCAGCTTCTGCAGCGCCTTGTGCACACACATGTTGGAGTAGGAAAACTCTGCACAGGAAACAGACAACGCATCCAATTGGAACTGAGTGCCATCTCAACCTCCTGACAGGTTAAAAAAAGCGTCACTCAAAACTATGAATACGACTCCAAAGTTAATGCTATTGATATCTGCTGTATGAGATTTATTGAATTGTTTTTTTTCTAAAGGTTATTCTGTTCTAAAAGCAAGCGTATTAAGAGGATGAGACTTAAATGTCACTGTTAAGCCTGACATACAAATTCACAAATAAAAGGATTCCGGAGGATTCAAATCCTCCTTATGATGTTTGATGCGCTAAAACCCTCAAAGCCAAAAACAGCAGAGGAAGGAGAGCAGCTTGACGGAGGTTGTCAGAATCATTTACATGCACCATGGCACTGACAATATATTAATATTAATTTTACTACTGTTTATCAGTTAATAGGGCAACGTTGAACCTCCAAGACAAGCAGGTAACCTTTTACTTTAACCCCCTCATTTATAATGGAAGCACTATACAATCATGCAGCCATAACCAATATGAGAACACTTTTCAGTATTCGTTCATGCACTATTTGAATGTGTATTTTCAACAATTACACAATTACCATCAGCTAAATTCATAATCATCCTCAGAGAGGGTAAAAAGCTCAGACATCAGGAGCAGAGCTGCTGCTCTTCTGCGCCAAAAGCAGCCAGTTGAGGTTGTTCAGGCATTTGGTCAGGATTCCTCCTGGGCACCTGCCACTGGAGGTTTTCTGGGCACATCCGACTGGCAAGTGAGCCCAGGGTAGGCCCAGAACATACTGGAGAGATTATATATCTCATCCGGGTTGGGAGCTCATGGAAGAGCTGGGAAACGTTGTTGGAGGGAGGGCATCTGGACTACCTTTGGTAGCCTGCGGGTAACTATGACCCAACTCCTGATAAGCAGTGGGAAATGGGTGTATAAATTAACTACATCAGTAAGCGCTTAAAATGATCTCATATCTGGGGTCATTAGTTTGTTAAAAGCCATTTCTGAAACGTTTATATCTTTTTCAAAATGCTAAAGGAGAGTAGAGTTTCTATTGTACAATATGAATAGCCGTAGGAGGTAAAAGTCTCCCATGCCTCTAAATCCTCAGTCTGTGGTTTGAGTTTCCTTTTTGTTTTTGGAAAGAATGGTACTTTCTAAAAATACTCTTGTGATGGTGAAGCAAAATCACTGTTTCACATTCTCAAAAAATACATTTCTCCTCTTTATTTACCATCACCTCTCAGTCTGAGCCAGGTACATAAACATCTAGGGACTTCAGATGAAACATAGCCTCTCGGCTAACTCTGGCACATCTACAGCAATGTTTATTAATGTGCACTGTCCCAGTTAAATATACCGGCAAATAAAATAGATGAAATCTGTTATAAGGTGTCATATTCAGTTTTTAATGCTTTGTTTTGTGTGAATAAATAAAACAAGATATAATCTTCACGACTGTTTGCAAATAAATGTATATTAGTTAAAGAGCTAGAAAAAATTTATTTAATTGATCAAATTGTTCTTAATTTAAAGTTTGGCATATCAAAAAACAACATGTATTGGCATAACCTCTATATGTAAGTCACTGAGAGAGTTTACAGCTTCATGCACAGGCTGTTTCTTACCTCCCTTCAGATCCTCCTCATCAAAAGGGAATGGGATGTGAACAGTTTCTCCATGACCGTGCATACCATGGCCCTGAGGGTTGCACACACATACAATTTATATGTTTTATAGCAAAAAGTGAGACTTGATACCAAATACACAAGTAACTAGACAACAGTAGACGAATGAGAACATTCACAAGATAAGTGCATCAACCCTCTGACCCCGAACGACATTTTTCAAGGTCAGAAACTGTAAAAACAGAAAAATATCCATGGAATTTTACCTTTCTGACAGTCCTTGAACTGCTCCACTACCCTACTCTGTGGCAAGAATTCAGGCATTTTTGCTAGAACTGCAGAAAAGATAGAAGACAGGAATGGAAACTAATTAAATATGTAGTTAAGTCGTATCTATAGTACGTAATGTCGCTGTTTTGAGATTGTTGGTAACATCTGTGGGCTCTTGGAAAAATGCTACACATGCTGATTCCAGTATTTTTTAATTTCTGTAAAACAAGTTTTCTGATTAATAATTTATTATGTAACTGTATCATAACTGTGTCATACTGCATAGAACACATTTGTGAGTTTGTTATCCTTGCAGCCATTGTGCTGTTTAAACAGAGATGCAGGACTTTATGCTGCAATAAAAGATGAGTCTACATTGAGTATAAATGTAACAGGAGCAAAAAAATGACCTGAAATTGCTTGTAAATCAGAGGGTTATTGGGCTATAGTCATGTCAGCTACAGGTACAGCTGCTTTTAATTATGTGTTTTATTCCTTTACTGTCTTTTTTTGCCTTTATTGTTTAGATAAAACAGAGATTTAAAAAAAGTAATGAGGTAAGAGAGCATAGGAACAACATGAAGCTAAAGTCTAGCTGGCCCAGAATAAGCTGCTATTCTTTGTTTACATTCTGTCTTTTTATTTTTTAAGCAGACTTATGGATGTTTATTTGCATTTATTTGCTTTCTGCTTCAGCTGCAAAATCTTTTGCAGACCGTATCCCCACTGCAGAACGATGATGCAAATCATCAGGGACCACCAGGAACATTTTATCCAACCAGCGTAATGTTAATCTCGTCCAAATTGGGCTAAAGATAACCTGAAGCCCCCTCATGGGAAAATCAAGCTCATCTGTGTGAGTTGTACCTGGATGAGAACAGCAGAGTGTGTGAGGGCATCGTTCAGCATCGTCAGCACGTTGGACGTAGGGACGACTCCGGGATCGTGACCCCAGGAAGTGATCAACAACCTGTCATAGACCTGAGGAGAGAAAAATGGGTAAACAATGGATTCTTCCACAGCTATTGGTAACTGAAGTCATCATGAGAGCACATCTGTATAAAGCAGCTAATATATTTAATATAGAGTTTTCACCAAACATAAAGCGTCAATATTAAAGCAAATAATAAATATGGTGACCACAAAATACTGGGAAATAAAGAGTGAAAAAAAAGAATTTACAAGAAACACGCACACAGAAATGTTTCAATGCCTTCTCGCCCTACAAAACATTATCAAGTTTCTACATGTAAGACAATCCCACTTGGGCTATTTTTATTATTAGAAATGGTTCAATCTAGGGGAGCAAAAAACAAAAGGGAACACAAGGCAATGCCATTTCTCCACTCTACTTGACATGTCATCTTGTCAGCCTCCCACTATGCTAACATTAACCTATTAAAATAATTAAAATTCCACCCTGACGCTGTTTTTACATGCCAAGGTTTTTGCGTGGGTCTCTAACTGAGCCGGAGCTTTTAGATGAAATTAAGGTGTTTGCTGTTTGCTTAATTATTTTCAGCTCTCAGAGAGGTGAAGGAGTAAATAGTCTGGCTGTTACCACAGTTAAGTTCCTCTTGGTGAAAAGCTGTTTAAACGAACAGACTGATTTGTCGAGAAATACGCCATCAAATGTTCTCATAAAGTGACCCATTTGCATGACATTACCAGTCTTCCTCGGAGAATTCACGGCATCAATTTCTCTTTTGTTCTCTGTTTCACATTCCCGGGATAGTTAAAAAATTCCAAGACCACTGGGAAGCCTTAGAGGAGGAAATTGCAGGTGCACGGCGAATAACGACCGTGATGCACCAGGTGCTTCGTTAAGAAATGAAGGTTGACGGGGACGAAGGAGGCAGACACTGCTCTCAGTACCTTCCCCTCTGACTGACAGCAAGGTCAAACCCACTGATGATCAGACCTAGTACTGTTTTACTCATCACATGTGTGGCTTCTCTTGTCAAACTTAACAGAGACTTGTTTTATCTACAATATATCTTTATCACCAAACTCTTCCTCATTTACCCGTGTACCTATGCTTTTAAATTTACATACTTGATTAATCATTAGTTTGGTCTAACCTGGAAAATGTCTGGCAGTTTGCGGAGCCTGGAGCCTTTGGAAAGCAGCAGAGATGGCGGGCCTTGGCCAGTCACGTGATACAGGTACAGCTTGAACCAGATGGAGCTCACCTCAGGGATGGCTGGGCCAATGTGCTGCAGGGAGAAACAAACACACACATGTACACATACGTAAGACTACACGAGCAGAAGTAATGCATGCCTTTTCCATCTCATTTCTCACACAAACATAAGCACGCACTTCAACTGAAAACAAAAACAACGGAGGCAAATGAGACCGATTGTATCTGTTCTTCTGAGAGGAGAGAAACGGAAGCTGCTATTAGAGATGCGAGTAGAAAACAAAGAGAGGAATTCATCGAATTCCACTTCACTGAGTCGCAGCAGTGTGAGAATAGGCAGCAGCGTGAATGGCACAACAAGAGTTTAACTTCTTTCCCTGTGTCTCTCTGAGCTCAGCTAGAAAGCTGGAGTGTGGCCAGGCAGAGGAATTACTCATGAGCCTCGCCTCCCTTCCTCCCTCTCTCTTTGTGTAGTCTTGTTGTTGGGGCAACTGCAGGCTGAGCACTCACAAAGCATACGCACAGTCACAAATCACTCCGGGCACACAAATGTGTACACTAGGCGAGAAGGCAAACAAAACCACACCGAGCGCACAAACACATTAACTGTCAGCTAAAACACAAACACACAGAGCGAATTCACATCCTAGCACACACACACGCGCGCACACGCACACAATTTGACCACACAGCTTGGCATGCAACACTGCATCCCCTCTGCTCTCCCTCCCTCCAGGCATCATACCTGAGGCGTACAGCTGCTGATGGGTCTGATCTCGTTGCTGAGTGGCGCCATTGAGACCAGCAGCTTGTAGTTCTTGTTGAGGACGCGGCTGCAGGTGGCCTGATCCAGACCCAGCAGGCTCTCGCAGCGCAACATGTCCAAAGGGAAACCTAGGGAGGGAAAAACCAAAGAAAGTCAGAACTTCTTTACGAAACAAGTGATTAAGATGCATTATGAGATGTGTGTGCTTTGCATTGTAATGCCTTTTATGACATAACGAACTGAAACTGTGTGGATAAAGCACATTTCCTAAAGCAACAGCACAACATTTTGATACACTAAAATAACTGGCTGCTGGATCAGCTGTATATTTACGAAACCGATGCTTGAGTGATATTGATCGTCTCATCTGATTTTCAACAAGGAAGGCATAAGTCAGCTTCCAAAACCGTCAGACTAGTCCTTCGCATTAAAAGAAGCAGAAGAAAAAGGGCAAATAAAGATCCTGGATGATTATGTGCGGATGCGTCAGACTGCAACATTGCTGAAGAGCAGCGGATCACATACAGAACGCACAGTAAAGATTTTTTCCTTTCTTTATAGTCGAGGTGTGAAGAGGAGTGTGCTCTCCAAGCTGACTTGTGAAGTGTATTCTCTAAAAAGGACAACTTGACATTCTTGGATTCGACAATTATATCTTTTCTCCTGCAGTAGCTAAAGGCTGCAAATCTATGTAGACTTTCTAACTAGAACATATATATTATAAAATATAGATATAAAAACAATGTATTCATTCCACAATGCAGAGATGAACAAGAGCTAGTTATGCAATCAGACTGCTTCATATCGACAATACGAGAATTGATTTTTGTTCTACAAATGTAATGTACCTCCATAGTGAATGCCATCATTAGCTTAATGCTTCTACGTCAATCACAATTCAACTTTCTTTTAATGCAATGATGAACAGCCACCGCAATAAAGTCTGGCCCCTTCCTAAATGAACAATCATCATTAGACTCTTGTATCATTAGAGGCTTAGTTTAACTTCAGCCAGCAGGCTCTCAATGCACTCACTCCTCAGCAGAGCAGCAGCTCGAGGAGGACGGAGGGATAAGACAAACAGAATGAGGCACGCAGCCAAACCAAACAAAGAGCATCTGGTGGCACAATGGTAGCTACATGGAAACACAGAGATTTACTTTCTCAGAGTTGGAGGACATGTTCTCTGCTGCTCCCCCTAGAGACACAAGCTGAGCAATACAGGTTGACTCTGTATTCCCAGCATGCCGCTGTGTTCGGTAATTTATATGAGCATATTTAATAGAAACTATCCCGACGCAGGAGAGAGCCACAATAGACAGTCGAGAGTGACACCGAGATATAGTCTGCCAGAAGCAGCAACAAAACAGAGGATCCACTTTGCGGTGCTGAGTTCCCCAGCCTCATACAGAACTTTCAAATAAAAACGACTTTAAAAACACCTAATTACTTATTGATTTTCTAAGACCACACAACGGGTTTAAGTAGTTAAAAGGGAGTCATTTACTGCAGTTGTTTGCCCCAATTGTGGTAAATACAGATCAGTATATCTTTTCTGTAATAAAGCGTCAAGATGAAAATTGGGAGAAAGTAAGCTGCTGATTTGCTGATAATTAGCTGCATTTAGCTCGGATATTTTTATTACCTAAATTGCACATTGTTTTGCATACATAAATAAATACACACACACACACGTCTGTTTTTTTACTAAAAGCACTATGATTAATATTACACATGATTACTTGGAGTACATTTAATATACTTTATTCTGTATCGATTCATTATAGGTGTGTTACATTAAGAGCTTTTGTCTGGAGTGCGTAAGGCTCTCTTGTACACTTCATTCACTCTGCGCCACCACCTCCCAGCTTAAATTTTGGTTTGGCTGCCATAATGTGCAGTTTTGAGCCTGATTCTGAAAACAGTCATTACAAAATGTTACCTGCTGCTGGCAGAAAACTAAACACCAAAAAGCACAGTTACAGCACAGAAGGAACTACGTGCACACGCCAGACAGCTTGCTGTGGAGGCAGGAAAGGTATAACCGAAACCAGCATGCCAGCTTCATAATTATATACACAATCATCTGGCCTGAAAGCTGCTTATTTACCATGTGTGCAGACATGTACAGGTGCACTGTATGGTGTCTGGGTCTTTAATTTAGCTACATGAAAAAGGGGACGACAAAGAGCGTGTAGCTGCATAATTACCTATGTTTGGGATATCAGGTCCCTGGTCCTGAGTGAGTTCTTTGTTGTAGCGCAGGAAGAGAATGGTGTTCTTCAGGGTCAGAGCGTGGTCAAAGTAACGCTGAGCCTCGCCTTCTGCTGTGCTCTCCACCTGAGAGAAACAGAAACAAGAAGAGAAGTCACGACTGTATGTGACATTCATGAGAGCATATACTCATAATTCCTCACACTATCCATCCATCCATCATCTATGCGGTGTATAGATCATATCTATCACAGGGCTACACTTAGAGACAGACAATCAAGCACACTCATTCACACCTACAGACAATTTAGAATCACCAATAAACCTCAACATGGTTTTGGACTGTGTGGGAGGAAGCCGGAGAACTCGGAAAGAACCCACGCTGCACGGAGAGAACATGGAGACTCCACGCAGAAAGATCACAGGTGTCCTCACCAGGACGCGAACCGGCGACCTTCTTGCTGCGAGGCGACGATGCTAACCACCGAGCCACCTTGCAGCCCTTCCCTTACACTAAATCAACATATTTTTTTTTGTGCTTAAATGAAAATGAAGAAAATATGTAAACAAATTTATACGGCTGTTCTCACCTTCTCCAACTCAGCCAGGAAGCTGTCGAGGGTCTCGTCAGACAGCTTACCCACCTCGAACATGGTCACCGCATGACTCTTCAGGTTCTGATGGGACGAAGAGGAATTGAGAACAGTTACAGTTTTTCTTGTTAATAAAATCATTCTATCTTTGTTTAACCTTTTACCACTGAAAATCTTTGTGTGTTTCATGATGCCTGCGTGCAGTCACTAACCGGAGACAGGTTGCCCATCATGAGGAAGGCTGTGAGGGTGGAGTCAAAGAGGAAGGCAATCCTCTTGGTGGGTGCAACTGGGATGCTCAGGCTGCTAACACTTGCTGTGTCTGCTGCCAAGACATTACAAAAAAAAAAAACAGTCCATAGAATAGGGGAAATAATAATACCTCTGCAATGCACCACTTAATGTCACATATTCTTGTTAAACTCTGACTATAAGCTTGTTTTATTGATATTAAATGTGTTTACAAGGACTAAACTAAACACTCAGTTCCTCAACATGAATTTAAACTGGTTTACACATAATGTGGTTGAACAACAGTCACTTTTTTTTTTCTTAATTGCCAAAATTGCACCATTTATCCGAGCCAGAAACTGTAAAAGTAGAGAGAACGATCAGATTTTCAACTTTCCAACAGCATTTCAACTAATTATGCGTGATGTGTAGTTCTGTCAGGAAAATAAATCCAAGCTTAAAATACTGATATTTCATTAAAATCACTCTATTTTAAATGTCTCACTCAAACACTCTCCAAATAATAAACCATTCATAGGAAGCAAATTCTCAAAAAAATGAAATATTCTGCACTCCTTGATGCAACCTCTAAGTCCTTACTGTCACAGCTGCGACTCCTGTGACAAAACTTTAGGGACTTTCAGATGAACTGCAGGCTGTGTTTAAGGAAACAACTTGAAAATGTTTGTAGTAAAATGTTTTTCTAGCATGTAGAGGCAACTTTTTTTTTTCTGACACCTGTGGAAACTACATGTTGATTTCAGGTTTTTCGAGTTTTTGTCAAATCCGTAACCAAATAAATTGACCTTTGACGTTCTCTATTTTTATGATTAATAGCATTCTAACTTCCCAAAAAGACACTTCTGAGTTCCCTTTACTTCTCGCCATGGTTGTAATGTTTCCTTAGAGGTTCAATGCAGTGAAAAATGAGCCCACAGTAAAAAGAATAAAAAAAACCTGACAGGAGCAAATAACAATCAGAAACTGCTTGGAGTTCAGAGGGTTAATACAAAAAAACAAAATAAGAATCAGACCAAAAATGAGACAGTCTTAGATAAACACCTATTAATGTGAAAATGATGTTCAGCAGCATGACTGTGCTTTCTTACTAATTTCTTTTTAATTAGCGCTGCTGCTTCAAACTTTTGAAGCAGGATTCATAAAGTGCTCTGTGTGCATACATCAGCATGTGTATTTATTCGCATACACTTTAGAATTTGTCTGTAAGTGTGTTTGAGTGTATGTGTGTGTGTGAACAGACAGACCTTGGTCTTCCAGGCTGGTGGTGTCGGTGTCGGTGGCTGAGGAGCCTCCCTCCATGACAGGACTGCCCTGCTCCCAGGACAGCAGCATCTTCTGGGGGTCCATGGTGCTCCTGCAAGAGAAAACACATCCACAGTGACGTACGGAAACTGCACCCTTACCCAAACCAGACAATTAGACTCAGTGTAGTAGTTTATTACATTCTGAAGATTTGAATTCATTGCACGTTTCATGGATTTAATTTGTCCTTTAGGGGAGAAAAATGACTTGCAGGACTGATGTGAGTGAATAAATAGATTTTGGAGTCTTTGTTGTTGTGGAAGTTTGACTCTTTCATAATGTTAGTTTACTTTGAGCGTCTGTGTAAACAATATCTTGTACATTTCTGCATCTTTAAGAACATCTCGCAAAAGGAAATCTAGATAATGGAAATGATTAGATGATTCAACCGGGGTTAGGTGATTGATGACTGCATAGAATCAGAGCAGCTGGTTGGACAGCCATCACGTACTTGAGTCTGTTGACAGATGGGGCGTTCTTCCAGGTAGGGTGGAGCTGCTCTGAGCTGAACACCTGCCCCTTCTTCACAGCGAAGCCAAGGCGACAGTACATGGAAACAGCATTCTGAGAAAACACAAGAAAGAACACAATAATGAGTTGCTTTATCCCACATTAAACCTGACATCAAGAGCTCAGAGAGTAGATGAATATTATCAACCTGCGGCCCTCCTGGACTAGTGTCTACCTGAGTCATAAGGTACCGATAAAGTGGGTTGCAGCATTTACACAAAGTAGAATGTGTTGAAACTGTCACAAAAAAGGCAGATTTGGTTCTCTCCCTGTTGCGATGCATTTCTTCTTATCTGAATGCTGATATGGCATTGACTCACAATGTTGCTCCTGTATTCAGAGACGGTGACATAACCTTTTTAAAGTTTCACTGCTGACGTTTTTCTGACTGAATTTATTTTTTCCTGCCACAGAACTCCACTCCGCTGTAGCGACTATAATTCACACTGCACTGTCTGTGTACGAGCAGGTGTCTGCAGGAATATATAAAATACAACATTTAAAGTATTTACAGACGGGATATTTTATTTAACCACTGATTTAATATTTCAATTCACACCGCAAGAAACAGTCGGCTTAACAAATCGTTATCTGCTTCCAAGGCTAACAACCCGATCAGTTTAAATAACACTTCATTATGAAACAGTTTGACTGTTTCATTGCTATAGTATCCGCACAAAGTGAAGGATGTATTGATGTTGGAACGCTGCAATACAATGAAGCACCTGGATTGACTCAGTCTGCTGATTGTAGGAAGATATACAAAATGAATGCTTGGGGGTCTTAAAGGTCCCATACTGTGTCCTTTTTCAGTAATAAAACTCTAACATGTTCCTAGATTGTCTGTAGTTTTAAATGGTGCTGTCCATGACCCTTCAGGAAGAAGACTCTCTCTGCATCAATGACTGACAGGGCGAATAAAATCAGTTGACCCAGTGCAGCCGACACAGATGTGAGTGTTTCTGTGTTAAGTGGAAATATCTTCATATTCAAAGCACAGCTGCTGTTTTTAACTCGCGTATATGGTGCATTCGTCAGACAACATTTATAAAAAAAAAATTAAATAAATCAGCATTTTAGTGGTGCAGAGCAGTAGCTTAGAAACGGCTCTGAAGTGACTGCCAGTTAACTTGTTGTCTTAATTGGCTGTGTTAAAGTCTCCATTTCATACTTGTTCCGTTGTCTGACAACAGAAACAGAAAAATATGGAAATGAGAACAGCCTAATTGGGAATTCAGCTGCATTAAATTACAGGATTTAAGAGCACAGAGCGTAGGAGAGAGACAAACAGATGTAAAGGACTGACAAGTACTGGTTTCAAATCCCTCCTAAACTTTCCACCATCTTCGAATGTCCCTCAGTGCTGCAATCGCCACGGAGAAGCAACGTTACCCGCAATGACATTAAGGTTATTACTATTGTTGTACGAACACAAATGAAAGTATTCCATTGGGTTTTCAATTCCTCAGATGCTGGGGATGCATGAAGACTCTTGTGTTCACTGTTGGTGCCCAAAGCAGAACATCTGTCATCCTCTGCTAATGGCTGTCAGAGTTTAGATTTAACAGAGGTCGCTTTAAAAAGTACGTAAACCTGGTGGCGTGTGAGGCAGCTACTCATTTTGAATGGCTCACCTGGCGGCAGCAGCAGCAGAGAGGGGGCAGGATTATACCAAGTTTGAGCTAAAAGACTATCAGGTCCTCTGTCAGAATGTAGCTGTAAAGTTCGTATTGGTTGGTAAAGCTGGGACGCTGTCTAGCTGTGGGGGCGCAGGAGGAATGGTAGAAGTTAACATCCTAATAACTCAACAGCATTTACCTTATACCGGCATGTTTACAACAACTACAAGACACGGAAAAAAATATTTTTTACTATATGGGATCTTTTTTTTCTTGGCCTTTTTACTAGATAGGACAGTTGAGAGCGAGACAGGAAAGTGGGGGAGGAGAATGGGGGAAGGACTTGCAGCAAAGGGCCATGACCGAGATTTGAACCCGTAGCCGCTGCATCGGGGACTACAGCCCCTGTACATGGGTGGCCAGCTCAACCAGTTGAGCTATAGCGGCGGCCCTCTATATGGGACCTTTACGATGACTAAGAACTAGCTGAATATTTTTTGGATGATGCTCTCTTAATCCTTAAAAGGAAAGAAAGTAACACTGTACTTCTCACTTGACAGGTTGACAGACTCTTTATCATTTAATTCATTTATGCACTTGTCACCCTGCTATGCTGTTAAATATTTTACTCAGAGTGAACAGGCCAGCTTAGCCGACTACTGTGGAACTGATTGCTTTCCACACCTTAACGCTCCAGAGGTGCAAACTGAGGTCAACTAGCCATTCTCTTATCATATCAAAAGAGGCACTGTGGGGAAATTTCTTTCAAATGACTCAGGCCACGAGGTAGTCATTACACGAGAGAAGCCTCAACTCAAGTCACGATGGGAAAAGTTGCGCACAAAGGAGGCCTCTCAGACATCTCAATCATCTCTGAAGAGACGGGGTTTCTGCTGGAGAATCGCTGCCACCGCTGCCTTCGACCACTTCATTTAAGTGTTGCTTTTCAGTGGAGGGAATGAGATGGCACCGAGGGAGAGGGGAGTTCAGCTCTTCACGCTGGAGGTCACAAACACTGTGAGGGGAGTTTGGCTCCGTGTCTGATGGAGAGCGAACAGGAAACTGGGGGAAACTGGGTCAAACTCAAGCGGCAATTCAACTGGAATAGTGCCGCTCAGCTCGCTGGTGGAGTCGTGGGGTATGATGGATCTAATCTGAAACACTGTGTGTGTCACCGTCTACCTCTTTGGTATATGTCTGTGTGAGTATATATCCAAAACGAAGCTGCAAAATTGTGCTGAAATATCTCCTTGCTAGGCTAAATAATATTCCATCATGCCACCGTGTTGCACTCTATTCCACGGCAATACCAATGTGCCACTTTCCTAAAATGATATAATAGCTATTTATCCAACAATTTGCCTGCACTCAAATTTAATAATAACATGGTATTAGAAACCAAATGACCATTTTTTCACATCAAGTACAAAAAAAAACACAAAAACCTGCTCCCTTTCTTTCATTCAGTCTGCACATCGTTGTACCGTGTGCATTTGAGCATACGCAGAGGCAAGAAGTATGTCTAAAAATCTCTTTGAAAGCCACAGGGGAACCAAAAACTACCTCCCCGTTTTGTCAATGTCAATTTTAAAAGCGCGTCCATATTTACAATAACTATTTTCATTCTCTTGCAGAAAAACTGTATTTCAGTCGATATACAACAATAAGACTCTGCAAGTGTGGCAAGTGGGCACGCACCTTCACCAAGTCCAAGTCAATCTCCAACACATTCGCCAGCTGAAACACAAAGAGGGAGTAAGGATCAGGAGTGGCACAAAAAAACAAAAAAAGAAAACAGGCCTTGGTTGAAAGGTTGATCGATAAACGCACACACACTGTCGTATTACATTCAAGGAGCACAGCAGCCGAGCATAATGAAACGCATTTCTAAAGCCTACCTCCGCTACGTTTGTCTGCTCATCAATGGACACAAAGATTTTGTAGAGAAGCGTTTCAAAGTAATCACCCTGGACGCGGTTCATGACAAAGCCTTCCAGTGGGGGCACTGAAAGACACAAACAGCGTCGAGCAACTGAGCAAACACTTTCACAGAATATGCCCCCTTTCTAAACACCGTATGTATATGTGAGGGCACAATTAGGCATGTTCTCATCTAATGTATGTATGTACAATGACGAGACAACGTAGTTAATTACTCAGTGGAGGACAACAGCAGGGATGTTTAAAAACACACATACAAACATGTAAATGATGTACCTGAGATGCAGCTGTCGTCAGATATGGGAACATCCAAGTAGATGAATCCTCGATTGTACAAGCCTGCAGTAAAAGAACAACAATGAGCCCTTTTGAGATGTGGAATATGTACCAGTGCTGGCTTCATAACAGCATTCTGTCAGTCAGACATAGGCATTCACAAACAAATAACTAAATATAAATGTGCCATCCTACAAATTATTTAACTGGAGTTTAAGAACTGTGTGCCACAGCTCAACTGTCTAATGTGAACAAAACTACACAGTGTGGCTTACAGTTAGATCAATCCTGATCAATCCTGTCTCCACGCCAAGGATAGTTTATAGTTATAGGTAATAAATGAAGTTACCGCTGTCTTACGTTTATAACTTTTGCCCAACTCTCTCTCTTTGGAGACGTTCATATGGACCCTGCTGCTGTTTGATGCTGCAGGTATTGGATAAACTCAGAGGAATAAACTCATTACAAACAGCTGAAGGCGACTCCTGTTAACAAAACCCGGATTGCATTATGATTGGTTAGTCTCATTAATCAGGCTTATTACGTTCTGTCTTCTTCTCAGTACATTTTGATTTTAATGTATGTTTTAGTCTGTAGTACCGTCATTTCCAGACTATAAGCCGCGACTTTTTTTACACGCTTTGAACACTGCAGCTTAAACAATGATGCGGCTAATTTATGGATTTTTATGAATTTTACGAATTTGCCTCGAGATAAACGTGACACTGAGAGCGACAACGAAAGAGAGACTGAGGAAGTAATTCTGAGGCTGTTCAATTCCGACACTGAAGAAGACGACTTTAGTGGTTTTAGTGCGCAGGAGGAAGATGAAGATAGCGATCAGTGACTTTACCTGGTAGGCTACTGTAGTTTTATTTTTTTTAACCAGCCGTGTTACAGGCACTGTTCGGAAAAAAGCATTTACGGTACGTATTTAATTAAAAGTTAAAAAATCTTTCTGTGTAAATATCTCATGTTCCAACGTGGACACCTGCAGCTTATAGACAAGTGCGGCCTATGTATGAATAAAACTTGTTTTCTTTTTAAAATTAGTGGCTGCGGCTTATATTCAGGTGCGCTCAATAGTCGGAAAAAGTCAATAAAAAAAGATGTCTCACGAATTTGACATGCAAATTGCATCTTTGTCGCTCTCTGATTGTTTATGGAAAAATACTGGTGCCAAAATGTAGATAAATTCTACCCAGATCGATTCAAACAACTCAAAGTACTTTGCTTGTGTGTTCAGTTACCGTTGAACACTATTCAGGACTTTCATGCTGCCGTATGCAGAAGGTCTTTCAGGGTCCATTAGACCCCAAGAAAGAATACGTGCAAAATATTTGTTGGTATCCATGATAGACTTTTATACTATGTTAATACATTTTCTGATAAGTTGACGTATTTTTGGTTCCAAATGCATGAAAAATGTCCCTCTTTTTATATTAAAAGAAAATCTTCAAAACTAAAAAAACAATACCTGTCACCTAAAAAAATGGCCTGAGTAGAGTTTATGAAAAGAAGTGCATGTATGAAAGGGGTTTGATCGATATACAGTCACTGCTGTTGCCAAAAACAAATCTTTTGACCTCAACTATCTACATAGTTTTTCTTCCTCTGAGTAGAACAGGGTGTGCTGGAAAAAATGAAACCCAATAAAATCTCATTTAAACAGTTACTTGCATTCAGATTGGCCTTCGTCTACTGTATTTAATCTTATTTGTCCCCACTCAGTCACCAGCTCTCCAGTACAGAGGTTCATCACTGTCAACCAGTCTCTAATTAAGATTTAAACTGCACAGACACAGCCTCAGTCCCTGCGCTTTACTTTTGAAATCCAGACCGGCGCACTGATGAAAGCCCTAAATCTGCAACATCTGACACTTCTTCTTTAAAATATTTGTTTAAGTAACAAGATATAAACGTCACTAATTATCTGACTGTTACCAGAGTAGGAAAGTAACTGCTTTAAATAGTGAACAAGTGCCAGGCAGTAACAGATAAATGTTCAAATTAACTCAGTCGTCAATCATTATCATGTTTTACCACATTTTGGCCAGTGGCTGTTGCTCATTTCTCACACTGATAGCTACTTCAACATGCGCAAATAATAGAAGATAAGACACTCACTTAAGACCACATTGTACTCCATTGATCCAGCCAGCTGAGGACCAGAATCAATCATCTTATCAATGGCTTTCTTCTCGGCTGGAGAACAAATCTGCAATTTAACCCAGCAAACAGACAACATTAAAGCACGTCTGTACACAAGTTTGTCTCAAAACAATCACCTCCAGTGAACAGCAGTGGTGGTGTAGTTTCTAGAAGAATATTGTAACTGTACGGACTCCTAGACTGTTTTCCAGTGTTTCAATTTTTTTTTTTTTCTGAAAGGGAGAAAAAGTGCTGAAAAGTTGGCAGGTATTTATTTTTAGTCGGATGAGAACTCCACATGCAGTGCAGGGGCTCATGGGATGAAGAGTTGTAGCTTGGTGGGTGATGTGTATGAATTTCAATGAAAACTCACTGTAAAAATGCAACCGCTCGCATCATCCGCTCATTCAATTTGTATGTCAACAATACGTGCGGATAAAAGTTAGCGGAAAATTAAATCGATAAGCTGGTGCTTTCTCACCGTCTCTCTACAAACACAGGAAACTGAATAACTACACAACGATAAAATTTTAATTGATTCAATATTTCATGTTGTTCTATTTCCTCCCCCGACTACATGACATGCCAATTTCGCTCTTCCCAGTCAGTGTCATGATGAATAAAATATCTAAACACACATTTATATCCAAGACAAAGTACAATCCGTGTTTTCCTGCCAACAAGATTATTGTAAACTTCCATAAAACAACTGCTTCTCTGTGTTTGTTTGTCCTTCAAGCATCCGAGTTACAGCTCTCTTTCTCCCTGCCTCTTACCCTCCCTATCTTCTCCTCCTTGTTCTGCCTCTCCTTCAGACCTCTCTCTCTCCTCTGTGTCTTCTGCCACAGTAGTTGGGATTTTCATCCTGCAGAGGATTAACTCTGCTCTTGTTTCTCGCCTTCTGTGCATTTTTTCCCCTCTCATATCTGCCTGAAAAGGTATAGGTCCTTATCCATTCTGTCACACCTAGAAGTTATCTGATGTCCTTCCGGATCATTATTCTCCAGGTTTACATTCTTTCATCTTAATTGAGTGTATTGTAAATGGTATCTACTGCAGGTCCATCTGTTCTCGGTTGCTCTTCCTGGGATTTCTTTCATTTTTATCTTAATCGAGGGTCGAATAAAGATTGTAAAGCCAAATTTACAACTTGTGAGTTTGGGCTGTACAAATAAAACTGACTTGGCATGACGTGCACAATTAATTAAAACAGAATCATGGAAAAGAGTCAAAGTTCTGTCGCACCCTTATGTCATCCTCGGTGATGTAGCCCGTCTGTGCCACCCACCACGGCTCCACAGAGATCTCCACTGGTTTGGCTGGTAGCAGGTCTCGTGCTGATTTCCTGCGGAAGAATTTCTGCGGGAGGAGACGAACAAGCAGGCGATTTAAAATTAAAAAAAAAAAAAGGCTTCACCCGCTAGCAGGTAAGGTGAGGCAGAATGAGTAAAATCAATGGAGAACCATGAAATATTATTGTTTTAATTAACAAAATTCAAAAACATCCATTTAGATCTTCTTTAACCTCCTTAATCCCAACATCCACCAGATTAAAAGACAAGTAATCTTTATCAGAGCCAGAGAGCGTAACAGCAGAAAGTATTGTCAGATTTAAAAATGTCACACAACCCTTTAACTACTCCTCTGTGACAAGACATTACATTAAAGAGTTTAACCAAATTATCCAAATCCCAGCGTCACATTGTGATATTTCACAAATAATTTATTGTACATGTCTTATTTTTTTAAAATGCAGAAAAAATACATTGTTTGCTTTAAACACATTTTGTAAAAATCAAAAAGATTCTGCACTCTGAACTCACCATAACTGACTCAGCCGCAACCAACAGTCACATAACAAAAATTCCCTTTTCAGCAAAGCTATAAATTGTGTTTTAAGAATGAAGATAAAACAGAAACAAATTAAAAATCTAGGTGGTAAAATATCCATAGTATGTAGAGTCAGCATTTCCCCAGTGTTGGTAACACATGGGGGCATTGACAAAAATGATGTACATTTTGATTACAGGTTTTTGTTTTTTTTTCATTTTCCAGAAAATAACACAGTGGTGCAGTGGCCAGAATTGTGGCCAGCACTGTGTGGGTTTTCACCGGGTGCTCTGGCTTCCTCAGACAGTCCAAAGACATGATGAGGTTAATTGGTGGTTCTAAATTGGCCGTAGGTGTGAGTGTGTTTGGTTGTCTGTCTCTCTGTGTTGGCCCTGTGGTGGACCGGCGACCTGGCCAGGATGTACTCTGCCTTTCGCCCTAAGCCAGCTGGGATAGGCTCCAACCCCCCCCCTCCTCCCGTCTCCATGGAGGTTCAAGACTGTTTCATTTTGCTTTCTATAAATCATCAGGTTGTTTTTATTTTTGTGTGTGTTTTTAAGAGTATGTTAAACACATCTTACTTTAGAGGACCTGCACTGGTTCATCAGGTCAATGTACTGGTTTCTTCCAATGCCGAGCAGCCTCAGACCTGAGGAATTATGGGAAAATGAGCAAGTCAATAAAACTCAATCATTACTCAGTAATGGATCACGAACTTGTAATCGCCACACATTAACATGACAAGAAATAAATCTGGCTGCAGTGCAGCTGCAAAAACATCTCTGGCTTCTTTAGTTACATCCTCTGCTGAGGCAAAGCTTGAGAATTGTCTTTTATGGACATTTCAAACTTCACATTGGAGAGTTATTCCAGTAAATGAAAGAGCTTTGCAAGGTTTGTGAGGTAACAGTGACTCATCCAAACTCTGCCAAGGGAGTACATCCACACAAATACCCACAGTCCTTCTCTGAGACGATCCCCCAGTTCACACACAGACACACACTAAAGCACTGCTAATCTAGCTATCAACATACACAGAGGGGTCTCTGACAATAATCAGAGTGAGTGTGTGCATGCATTTTCATCTGCAATTAAATGAACACATCTTTTTAATTTCATCAAATTCTGGGAAATATAGCAAAAGTTTTATGGTAGGAAATAGTTACAAACGCCACCTCCTCTGTCCTGTGCTGCATCAGCCTGGGGGGGGGCGGGGGGGAGCAGAGCAAAATGTGCTGGGATGGCTGCCAGTGCAAACAGGAACAACTAAGGGACATTTCGGCATTTCGGCCACCTAACGCAGCAGAATCGTACACGCGAATCCTGCTGTTTCACCAAGACACAGACACAACACGAAAACAGCCACCCACGCAAAACTCTTTCACACAACACTCTCACTGCCTCTCCATCCACCCACTTCTGCATGACACACTTCCAAAGCTCCTCCAGGGAGATTAGTGGAGAGAGGCCCCTCCGAGTACAGCTACGACAGCCTGCTGGCAGCCTTCTGTCTACACAGCATGAAGGTCCCGTACTGCCAGGACTCTGTCACTCACTTGCTAACGCCGAACCCCGTTTCGCCTGACGGCAGAAAGTCAAAGAATGCACATGACTTTCAACTTTCAGTTCATTTTAAAAGGTTTTGCAATAATTTCAGATGAAAACTCCTCCCGTGGCGCAGCAACACAGGAAAGTGGCAGTTTGTTTGTTTTCTGAGAGGCAGTATTCACTCAGCAAAAAATCAGATTCAATCAAAAACCATTGCCAAGTGCTTTAGTTGGGTTAAGGAAACACAAAGCTATTATTTCTATTTATTAGTTCGTCAGTGGGTTTAAAAACCTCTTCTCTCATAAAGCAGCAAAAACCACTACCTGTTTATTTGTTGCAGGCTTTCTAGGAAAACTCAAACCTCCGAAACACAGAACCAAAACAAAAAACTTTATGAAAACAGATGCATCTGTCAAGAACATTGTGCACAAACAAACAACATATGCTCCTCCTGCCTAAAGTCTGGCATCCAGGTGCCAATCTTCATCTTTGCTGACAATAAACAGAAAAAGCTCCATTTAATGAAAAACATTTTGACATGTTGGTTTAATTTTAATGTCATTTGTTAGAAATCAGTTTCCCCCGAATGTGAAAAAACTAAAACAAAAACAAAAAAAAAACGAGGCATAAATTACACAAATTAAACTTCCAACTATTTTTTCTGGTTCATTGCTTCATGTGAAAAAAAAAAACAGGCATTCAGATTATAATGACAAATGATTAAAAAACATAAGTAGAAAATGCTCACAACTGAGACGTCGGCACGAATGAATGTCTGACACAGTTAACCCATTATCAAAATAATCAAATAACCCATCAGTTAGGCTCTAGTTTCACTAAATATGAATACTGAGAAGCTGATATGAATATTCCTGCAGAGTCAAGTAACTTTTAAGGATGTTTAAAGAAGTTGGAAGCGCCCCTAAACTCCCCTCCTAACCTTCATTCACATCATCTTCCTACAAACTTTCTTTTCATAGTGACTGTGCTCCCAGTCAGACAACCAAACAAAAACTGGGGAAAGATGTGCAAAAGACACCAGAGACACAGAGACAGTAGATGTGGGAGGCAAACAAAACCTCTGTAAAGTCATTTCAACATTGTGGGAGAGAAGGGGGAAACAGACAAAAAAGGAAAAAAGAAGAAAAAAAAACTCACAGTCAGCAGCAGTGAAGTTGGGCAAGGAGTCGTAACTCTTCTCACTGTTCATAATATCCTGGAGGTGCAAAAAAAAAGGAGAAAGGAGACAGGGAAAAGAAGAATTAAACCAATTTTTTTTTTAGACCGTTTTCTATGTCCCCTGCCTCTGATTAATAACAGGATTAGCAGATCTGGGCAGCCGTGCTAATTTCTACTCCCCATTTTCATTAAGCGCTTAAGACGGATTATCAGAATATGACATAGCCTTCAGCAATTTAGTGGTTACAATTAAAGCTCAGTCGAGTTTGGTTTAGAAATGCGTAAGAAAGTGGGTGAAGCCCTTTTTGAGTGAAAATGGTTTATTCATGTTTGTATATGAAGTGAGAGAACACTGGGCATGTTAGTCACGTCTGTTCTGATGAAATGGGAAGTACGCTAAATGTGGAACAATCGCTTGTGTCAGCGAGCATCTGCACACAGTTTGTAAACACATTGTTGTGCCGTAATGGAAATACATCTGACAGCATCATGTAAAGAAAGAGCACAATAAACGCCTATGTGATCAGCTACAAAATACTGTGCTGTATATAGTCCGGATTACTTTCACTTCCAGCCGTGTGAGCACATGGACTCAGTCTTTGTAATCTAATTGAAAATGCCAGAAGTCAAGGAGAACCCGGCTGGTCAGAGCCTCTAACAGACTGGTTCTCTGTGAGCCCGGCTGTGCCAGCCTCAAACAACAGACTGTGCTTTATCAGTGAGTGTGATCTGTCATGCAGACAAAGCCCAAACTGACTGCAGAGCAAACAGTAAAGATTTTCTCTGGGTGTGTTTGTCCTGGGGTCAGTCCTCTGTGTCTCCCAGAGCTGGAATAGGAGGCTTTACTAGATGCTGACTGACACCTAGTGCCTGACTGATGCCAAATCTAGCAAGGCAGGAAACATATTATACTTTCCCGTCAAAGCAGGATTTGTCCTGAATAGACATGTTCAGTGCCTCCCAAAGCAATTTTAGCCAGGACCAAAGGAATATCTTTGGTGTCAAAATGATAAGAACTGGAATCATCATGATATCTATTTTGAATAATATCTATTTTTTTAAAGTAGTTTTGTTAAGGCTGCAAGGTGGCTCAGTGGTTAATACCACTACCTCGCAGCAAGAAGGTCGCCGGTTCACGTCCCAGTGAGGACACCTGGGATCTTTCTGGTGGAGTTTGCATGTTCTCCCCGTGCAGCGTGGGATCTCTCCGGGTCCAAAAACATGTTGAGGTTGACTGGTGATTCTAAATTGTCCGCAGGTGTGAATGTGAGTGTGCTTGGTTGTCTGTCTCTAAGTGTAGCCCTGTGATAGACTGGTGACCTGTCCTGGGTGTCCATAAGTCGGCTGGGATAGACTCCAGCCCCCTGCGACCATAGTGAGGATTAAGCGGTGTATAGATAATGGATGGAATATACATCTTTGTTTATGCATAGATGATAGATTTTGTGAGTTAAAAAACAGACTCATAGCTTTAACTGTGAATGGATGAATCATGTTTTTAAAAAAATCCTTAAAATATTTTACAGACTCTTTCTTGCAGTCAAATGCTCTGACTCTACAGCTGGCTAATGTATGCCATGTTTCAACATATTCCTTACTTGATATGCAAATTCCATATATGTTCAATATATTCACTCCCCCCAGCCAGTGCCATCGGCCAATTTCACCTCAATTCTACAATCATCGCAACTGCACAAGCTGAGCCATTTAGCAGATCGATTCAGGTGTACCAAATCATACAGTATACTGCGATTCTCCATGTAACAAAAAAAACAATTGTCCACGACAGCAGGGAGTTGTAAAAAGCTCACATCCTTCTAATTGCAATGGTCTCTTAGATTGCTTTGTGTAAAACCGGCATTCCTGCAGTGGTTTCCAGGGACGCTAAAATTGAAGACATTGTTCAATTTAAATTACCAGAGAGTGGATGTTTCCAAGCCAATTAGAAAATTTTGCTGCACAATAAGAATTCCTGCTCTCTTCCTCTGACTTCATCCGGGCCCATTGTTCTTTGAGAAATGTGAAGCGACTGAGTGGAAGACGTTTAGGTGTTTGTGAAGCTGCTTACAGAGATTATGATAGCAGAAAAGTGGTTGTTGCCTTCTTCACATCAAACACCCATCTGTCCTATTCCGTTCAACACAAGGCACTTACCTCCATGATTCCTATGTAATATGAGAACGGAGTGACCCGTAGCCCTTTGACCATGATGTCGGACAGGTGGTAGGGGTACAGCATCAGGTGGTCCCGACTGTACTTCAGGAGCTCCTCGTAATACTTGCGCTCATCTTTCCTCACGTGGCGCACTGCTCATAAAACACACATACAGCAGTCAGGTCACAGCCAGAGGTGAGTGTTCGTACAGCTACACTTGCCGTCAATCTATACCTGATCGATGCAGGTTTAAAAAAAGACACACTGATCCGAGGCAACGTCCGGAACGCCACGAGGGAAGCAGCGCAATTGATTACACTGAGTGTATATTATTAAGCAGCCATTTAGAGCTATTTAGCAGTTATTAGACATTTTCAGTGACATTTTACTTAGCTGGTAATCACATTCGAGATTGAGGGCAAGCATGCTTAAGGATAAAGCCATCATTAACCATAATCAATGCCGTACTCAATCTGCAGCTGCAATTCACATACATGTGACAAGAGGAGAGTCAAATATCACTGTGACTCTTGAAATGGACCTCTGATTAAAACTGTCTGTTTTAGAAGCGGGATAAACAACTAGATTTATCCTACCAGAATTCGCTCTGTGTCTTTTAATCTCACACTCAACTCAATTAGGATGTGTCACTCGTGTGAAGGACGACATACTCACCTAGGTTATTGCGGAATCGCAGCTGGTTGCGGATGCTGTACAGGAGCACATGCTTCTCATACTCGCGCTGGGAGTTCCCCAAACTCTGCAGAGTAAACAAAGCAAACAGGTAAGAATCAACATTTACGGAGCAAGGGAGCAAAGCTGATCCGCAAGGCCTCTCTTAACCCTCCTTTATTTCCACTGGCTGTGCATGTGTACAGTTTTTACATGCTGGTCCCACATTTAGAAATACGCAACATATAAACACAAAAGTGCAAGACAGGATGTGATTTTGAGACACAGGCTGAAAGTCACATAACAAAAGTAAGAATCCTGCTAAATCTGCTTGATAGTAGGTTTCAGCAGTTCTTACTAATGAAATTTTCTAGGGGTGCACCACTCCCTGGTACCAACACTGACTGCACTCAGCTGATCCTCATTAAGTTTAGTTTCATTGCCAGCGTCACTGCAAAAACTTCATTCAATCAGTTTAGTGCTCTGGCTTCATATCAACTTTGATTCACCACATGAAGCTCACAGATTTTGAATTCAAGGAAAATCAACCCTGATATCGAACAAGAGATTTGCAGACATGCTGAATTTAAGTTTATGAAATCAATTATGGGAGAGAAAAACTTACTTAAAATGTTCAGTTATAGCACTACAAACTACTTGATGCACAAAAAGCACAATTTGTGGCCTCCGCTATTGCTCAACTGGTTGAGCTGATGACCCAAGTACTGGGGCTATAGTCCCCGACGCAACGGTTGTGGGTTCAAATCCAGCCCATGGCCGTTTGCTGCAGGTCCTTCCCCCATTCTTCTCCCCATTTTCCTGCCTCACTCTCTACTGTCCTGTCAAATAGAGGCAAGAGCCAAAAAAATAACTTTTAAAAAAAGCATGATTTGCACCGTTTATGACTGGCAATCGTACTCCTCGGAGGATGCGCGAGGATGCAGACACTTCAAAGAGCAGTACAAAGCTAATCTATGTACATAACCAGCCTCCACTTCACCATGACATGTTGCTGCATGTCATGGTGAGGAGGGATTTATGCAATTGTAAGGGAAAAAATCACCCTTCCTACATTGCAAGCAAAAAAAACACAGTTTCTTCACCAATTCCATTACAAAAACCAGTGTTTACATCTGGTTAAAATCATTCAGTCAGTTTTTCTTTACAACCACAGAAACCTCTGGCTTCATATCAAGTCTAGTACACAAAGTAAAGCAGATTTTGAATTTACGAAGAAGCAACACTGATATCGAAAGAGAGCTCAACATTGGTGGATATGCTGAATTGAAGTATTGGAATCTGTTTTGGGGGAGATAAACTTCCTGAAAATGTTGAACTGCATCAGCACAAACCACTTGTATACACAGTACGTATGAAGCATTACATCCTTCCAGATCTGGGGCCCCTGGAGTTGCACTGATAGTGGTTGGCAATCCAAGTTCTCAGAGGAAGTGCAAGGATGCAGACGCCTCAAACAGCAGCACGAAGCTAATCAATGTGCATGTACCAGCCTCCACTTCACTGCGACACACCGATTTTTCATACAAGAAAAACCAACACTAACATCCAATAGGTGCTGGATATAAGTGGCTATGCTGAGTTTAAATATTAGAATCTTTCTTTGGAGTGAAAAACCTCCTTAAAATTGTATCGGCACAAACCCTTTGTATACTTTGCACATTACAGATTACAAACATCTTTACTACCTCGCTCAGGATGTTAATTGTTCAGTTTGGACTTGTTGGATTGCTCTTATCATTGTTGTCTTCTCCTGACTAGATCCTTGCTTGTCATACTCTCAGATGTATGTCACATCTGGTATCTGCTAAATGAAACTGCAGAACTGTAGTATGTTTTACTACTTCTGTGAGTAGCTTTGTGTCAGAGGTGGTTTACGTGGTTAGATGTTGTGATTGTAGCTGCTATAACTGAGTAATTTCCTGCAAAGGATCGATTAAGTATCCAGCTTTCTCTTTTGACCCACAATAAGCATGAGGACAGAGGTCCCTGGAGTTGCTCTCTTTCTGATGGGCAATCCAACTTTTGTAAGGATGCACAGGGATGCAGGCAGGCAGCTCAAACAGCAGCACGACGCTGATCTATGTACATGTACCCGCCTCCCCTTCACTACGACATGTTGCCGCATGCAGGAGGAGGGATTTATCACAGAGCATTAGTAGAGAAAAATCACCCTTTACATCACTCGACGGCGCAACACAAAGCACAGTGTGCACCATGACGCGCGTATGCAGTATTTGCAGGTGACATCCACGCGCTAAAAATCATGTGGCGCCACCTATCAAATAATCTGTCATGTGATGCCAGCGAGCCGGAGCGGAGCCTTCAATGGCTGTAGTGTGGTGATGGTCAGTTATGGCTCCGGCTGGACGGTGAAAGCCCTGCAGAGGAGGGGAGCTGACAGCCGCCCGTGTGACGGAGAGCACCGCGGTGACATTGACAGGTTCACCCCCCCTCCCTCCGTAGGACACCGCGGTGCCCCACCACCACCCCCAGCAGCACCACCACCTCACCGTGCCCCCCGAGGAGACGTTTAAAACACGGTACCTGCTTGACATTAGCGGGGAGCTTGTTCCACGGATAATTCTGCCTGATGTGAAATTCCACGTCCGTGTTCATCGCTAGCTAGCTAGCTGGCTACAAGCTGAATCCCTGGAGACGGTCAGAAACGGGCTCTCGGGCGAGTCCACGGTGACTTCACCCACCCCGCGGACACCCAACAACCGAGCGAGGCGACCCCCGGTGCGAGGAGACGGTTGGTCCGGTGGTTATTTGGCTTCTCAACAAACGGTCACTTCCTTGTTGTATTTTCGAACGAACCGTTCGTCACGCTCGTGGCTACATCCGTCACTTCCTGTTGAGGCGTGACCGTGGAGCTGAATGGAGCTGGAGACGGAGCGTAGGGACACCTCAGCGGTGTCACGTTTAGTGATAGTTCATATTTAAATGCGTATTTAATGTAATAACATGACATACAGTGGTGTTCACGGGCCAGTTAGCAAGATGTCAGGTCACCGTTACTTACAGGTAAACCGAGGTGAGAACTCCTCCAGCTCACCTGGCCTGCTGACCACCAGGTGTAGTCTTTTTTTATTTTTTTATTTTTTTATTTATTTTTTTATCTCAGCTCTTTTCTTGGATGCTAGTGGTCTTTCTGATATTTTAAATGACTATCAGATAATTTTACTGGTGGGAGGTGTGTTAATGTCACATTTTGACAGGACTTTATAACAATACAAATAAACACGCATATTTAAATATTTATTTATTTATTGGTACTGGTAACATGAGCGTCATATTTTTAGGGTTATGCATTATTCCAATAAGAGAACATATACTTTTACACATTTCTTGCGAAAGTGTACAAGCAGGAGTTTTGGGAGTGTGTCTGCAGAGGAGGAGGCTGTATTGCATGTCTAGGCCCCTTGTTTTTTATTACCTCCATTGTGGGTTAGATGTGGCGTGCACGATATATCGGCCACCACATCGGTATCGGCCGATATTAGTGTTTTTTTCGGCCGATGAACAAATTTAGCCGATGTGAAAAACCGATGATTGTCTGACATTAGTGCCTTCGTCTCTACGTTTGATATTGCTGCTATTTCACAGATGTTTTTACTTAAATGATCCTGGACTTTAAATATGTTGAAATATGTTTACATTTGTTTTACTTTTGCTACGTAATAAAGAAGACTATGTGGTCTAATTTGATATGGGCTTCTTTTGAATAGTTTTCACGTTCTCACAGTGCTTACTTCTACTTATTTTTTGGTGTGAACAAAAATTGAATATCGACATCAGTAATGTTGATTATCGCCGACATCAGAAATCTTAATATCGGATATCGGTATTGGCCAGAAATTTTAATATCATGCATCACTAGTTAGATGACATAACAAGCACTTGTTTACGCCAAAAGCAACATCTGTAGTCCACAGATGCTGGTGGGAAGAAAAAAAAACAACAACAATGCAATTTTGGGTTGATTAAAACTTTAAACCCATAGCTCGTTATTAGAAAGCACAATTTGGGAGGTATAAACTTTTAAAACCATAAGTATTCTACTTTGACAGAAAGTAGTATTTTTGGTGTGACTTTAAAACTATGAGTAGTATTTTGGTTAGAATAAATCGCACGTCATGCATGTTAGCATTCTGCCAGTTTCGCAGGTAGTGCTGTTGCGACAAACAAGGGTCCTGAATGTGGGGTCCTACAACTGTAGTCAGAAGGACATCAATTTTCAAAACATTAGACTTTGTGATGTTGTATTTGTGATAAATTACATAAATTATCATGTAATGTAGTAACGTTATAGCTAACCAGCAGTAAAATGTGTCATTATTTATCTAAACAGCTAATAATCTGACTTTATATTAAGCTAATGTTGCTGTGCTATATCAGCTTGCCGTAGCGCTAACGAGCTAGCTTGAATTCTTTGCTACTGTAGGCTAAAGATCCCTGGTGATTAAAATAGCTCATTCAATAGCAGGGCTGCCTTGTTGCACAATTCAAACTTTTGGCAAAACTTGTGTCTCAAAATAGTAATGGGATTGTTTTGGTGGAACATTTGCATGCAGGGAAGGTAAAAACTGGGATTAAAAAAAAAAAAAAAAAAAAAGGGCTGCCTTTTTGCAGAATCCAAACCTTAAGCAAATCTTGAATTTTTCAGTGTGATAGAGTTGTTGCTCAGAGGTTGTGCTTGTTGTTTCCCACAGTGGGGCGGATTATAAAAATATCACCACACAGATAGCAGAGGGGGAGGAGAAAGCCTCATTAAAAGCACTGACAATGACGTGCTTATACCTGCAATTTACATGTGGTGAGTCAGACCAAGAGAGCTCGAACACTGGATCGGTAGAAGCTGCGGATCAGACCTGTGCAGCTCCAGAGCCTAAAATACCTGCAGAGAGGCACCGAGGGAGGACGGAGAGAGCAAAGCACAAACTGTGGGGGAGAGAGGACACTAAATTAAGTTAAAAGGATGAACACGTGTAAAGTCAGGCATATCAACAAGATAGCTAAGGTAAAGCATACTGGCTGGATTAGCAGAAACATGGAACTGTAAAAGCAAAAGAGGAAATCAGGCTTGGAAATAAGTGGAGGTCACTAGCACAGCTTCAAAGAAGAACTAAAATCAATAGAAACAGAGCCTTCAATTTCAGTCTGAAATTGCTAATGGTAGAGCAGGATTTAATGTGGAACGGGAGAGCTTTCCAGAGCCTGGGTGTGGTAACTGAACAAGCCTTGCCAGCTTTTGGTTTTGAAGCATGAATGAAGGACTGAGAGGAGTAACTGTAATGATGAGCTAAGTGGCCTGGGGACAGGTCAGAAGGTCCTGTGGAAGGAGATCATGGCCAGATTAACCTGCTGGAGGGCAGGATAAAGCTGCTGCATTTTTCTTAATATCAACCAGTCTCATTAAAAGACTATCTAACAGTGTGTTAGTCCGTCTCTAAATACCTTCCCAGTTGGTCTCTGACTCTCAGCACCAGCGATTAGTGGGAGAAAAATCCAGATCCTTACTAAAGTAAAAGTGTTTATATAGAGTTGTTCTTTTCAGATTTGTCATAAATAAAAGTGTGGAAGTCTGAATCCATGTTTTTGAGAGGGTCATTGGTACCCTGCCATTCTAAAGTATCAATAATCAGACACAGAGTTGAGTGTTTATTTTGCCTATGACAGATTATCCAGCATATTAAAAAAAAAAACTATGGTTAGCAAGGTGAGAAACTGGATTTCCACCAGAAGGGGTCTTAAAAGAAAAAAGGTATTGGAAGATCACATGACAGATTGTAGCAGTGAAGGTTAAAGTAAAAGTATTGGTTTGGTTCCTCTGATTGATTATCAGTGAAGCATCAGTGAGCATGTTATTGTCGTCGCTACAGATACAGCTACAAATGTAGTCGAGTAGAAGTATAAAGTAGTATAACATGGGAAGTACAGAAGTCCCTCAGAATTCTACCTAAGTTTAGTAATTGAGTGAATGCCCAGCATTGCTCTCCACCACTGGCATCAGCCCCATTTATACATCCATTATCCATCCATTATCTATACACCGCTCAGTCCTCACTAGGGTCGCGGGGGGCTGGAGTCTATCCCAACCAACTTAGGGCAAAGGCAGGGGACACCCTGGACAGGTCTCCAGTCTATCACAGGGCTGCACTTAGAGACAGACAACCAAGCACACTCACATTCACACCTACGGACAATTTAGTATCACCAATTAACCTCAACGTGTTTTTGTACCTTGTGGGAGGAAGCTGGAGAACCCAGACAGAACCCACGCTGCACAGGGAGAACATGCAAACTCCACGCAGAAAGATCCCAGTGCCCCCACCGGACACGAACCGGCGACCTTCTAGCTGCGAGGCAACGGTGCTATCCACTGAGTCACCTTGCAGCCCCTCATATATATGTCAGTGTTTTAAAACAGATCATGAATACCTACTTTCATGAGGGATTTTCTAAAACAACAGAGCATTTTGCTTTTTATAAAAACAGACTCAAACTGTTGTAAATAGTGTATTTGTTTGTATTAATCCATATTTCATGCTCTTTCAGGTACTTACAGCAGGATGATGGTATCTGTGGGATTGATTCAAAACAAACTACAGGGCTCTGGGTGTTCACGTACCCAGAGCAATGTTGTGCCTCACAGATGCGTTTTAATAGTTTTCAGGCAACAATGGTAGTACGTGGCTCAGAGAAATGGGATGTGTTGGGCCTTGGTTTCAAGGACAATACTTGCAGATCAATTTGCTATTTCTGGTGGTTTTTTTTAACACTTGTTGGAAAAAGTTGAATGTAAAATATTGCCTGGCTTCTCCTTGAATCTCTGGATTCTCTGTGTTTCTGTGTCATGTTTACAGTTTTTCTGACAACCTGCACAAAATTGAAATGATGTTAGTTCTTAAAATTAGGTATTAGGTACAGTGATGAGATTTTTTTTTTTTTTTAAAGAAAGCATTCTTCTTAAGTGGAGAATATTTTTAAAGAAAGCTTAATTCAAAAACTATGAGGCACACAATTAGACTGAGTCCTCCTATAACTCAAGGTGCTTCAAATGTTGTACACTTCTCCTGTTGGAAATCTGGTTTGGTTGGGATGCATGCAATATATAGTGTACAACAATATGTAAATAAGTGCAATATCACTTAAATCAAAATTCCTCTTCAGCCAAGCATCTGCAGACTGGAAGGCATCCAGTGTTTTAGTATCCACAGGTATTAATAGTGCCATCAAAAGAAAATTAATGTCATTTCTTCAACGCCTTTCACACTCATGCAGCCCAATATCATCACACTCTCACCTCCATCCTTCATTGTCAGGACCATGCAGTCACTGTGGTAACCCGGACCAGGTTCACACCAAACATGCCTAAAACAATCTGAGTCAAATAAATGTATCTTGGTCTTCTCTGTGCAAAGAATGTGCTTCTGCTATTTAAAGCATGTTCTTTATCTTACAGTTTTGTGCCAAAGAGCAAGCATTTTTGGTGTTATGTCATCGTCTTCACACACTTAAGTGATGTTGCACAGACATACATTCACTTCTGTTGTTCAATGTAAATCCAGGCCTCTAAGTCCATTTCAGTGTTAGCGACAGTATGCAAAAATCCATCCATCCATTATCTATACACCACTTAATCCTCACTAGGGCCATGGGGGGCTGGAGTCTATCCCAGCTGACTCAGGGTGAAGGCAGGGGACACCCTGGACAAGTCGCCACAGGGCTACACTTAGAGACAGACAACCAAGCACATTCACATTCACACCTACAGACAATTTAGAATCACCAATTAACCTCAACATGTTTTTGGACTGTGTGGGAGGAAGCCAGAGAACATGGAGACTCCACACAGAAAGATCCTGGGTGTTCTCACTGGGACGCGAACCAGCGACCTTATGGGAGGCTGCGAGGCAACGATACTAACCACCGAGCCACCTTGCAGTTCTGTATGCAAAAATGCTTCTGGTATATTGTTTTATCAGTTAGTAAGGTGGAATATGTGAAACAAGTGTACAAATATTCTTAACTTTAACTGTAGTAACCAGAGTTTAAAGCTCACAAAATATCAGACAAAACTTAAAAGTGGCAAGACACAATAATTAGTATCTGGCATTTAGCAAGTAGAAATCATTTTGGTAATCCTAACTGGCCTAAAACATGAAAAGTTTAGTCTGATTTAATGTCAGATAGTGAGAAATAAAAGGTGAAATGTCTTTTTTAAACAGTGTGTGTAAACTTCTGGTTTCAACTGTATCACTCAAGATCATTCTTAGGTTCTTATCTATGTTTGTCCTGCATTCATACGTCAACAGAGTCCTGTAGTTGATAATAATGTACTTATTGGTCTAAAGTCAAAATGTAACTTTAAAGAACTGACTTTTTCTTGAGTAGAGGGATTATTGTTTAAGCAAACAAAATACGAAAGAGTTAAGCAAAAAATAATTGCCTCACAAATCTGTTTTTGAAATAGGCTAAAGCCAAGATGAACCACTGCACACATTCGCTTCTGAGTTATGTGAGTGCATTTAAGCAAGAGCCATCTTCATCCAGCAGTGCAAACACAGTGATCAATAAAGTGATTATTTAAGCCAGTAAGAAGTAGTAAAAGTGGAAAATCCTAATCTTTTCCCTGCAGTTTCGAAGACGTGCTTCTTGTCAGGTCTTCAGCTCCTTATGGGAGCCTTGAGTAATGATCCATAAGCATGAAGTTGTCACTTAGTAACTGGTAGTTGTGTATAGGATTTCACTGTGTGCCAAAGTCCACCAAAGCTGCATGCGCTTCCATGTCACCATATCTCCCTTGCTGACAGCTCACTTTCTTGCAGCTATGTCATTCAATCTGCCTACATGCAACTCCAGTTCCTTGTCATACGCCGCTAAACAAACACGACAATAATTCATCTCACTGCCCCGCGAGCTGCAGACGCACGGCAGAGGATGATCCCTCGTGAGATTAAAAAATGTCAACTTGATGATCTCTGTCAGCATCGAGGAGGTTTAAACGTCTACGGACACTGGAAACATGATGATATAAAAGAAAATACACATCATTTTGATTAATCTTTCCAAGTGACTTAAAAAAATCAAGTGTCACAAGCCGTTGTGTCCAGAGTAATTATTATCGCTCATCTACATATGAAAGCACCTATCTCGTGCTCATTCATTTGTATCAGCAACATTTTTTTTGCTCATGACCCCTTAAAAGATATGTTTCCTTGCAGGTCCTTGTTTATGTTCAGATTTCAACATGATGGAAGTTGTAAGCAGCTATCCCTCCTAAACAGTTTATTTTAAAGATATTTTGAGGCCTGTAGAGGTGAAGGTGTCAAGTAAACACTTCTTTATTAGAATTTCAGGAACAAAACACAATTTAACACAGTCTCAAAGTATTTATGGTTCTAATTTTAATCTTTCCTGCCAGTAAAAATAGCCTGTAAAATGTGGGGTTACCACCAGGAAACAGGTGTTGCCAAATCAACCAGGACGAAGCACAAATGACTGAAGAGAAGAAGATTTTTGGCTCTAATGTAATGGCTTTCGATTTATGTTTGAAACACCTTAAGACTTACACGTTTGGATTCTGTATTATTAAATCTCTGGATTATCAAACTACAGATTTCTTTAGGAAAAGTATGCGTATGCATGTTATATGCAGGGCTGAGCACAGTGGTTGCTACTTGGCTATTGGACACAGGTGTCACACAGGTGAGCCGCAGTCATCTCCAGTTGTGCGCATTCATGGACCTGCACGCACACACAAAAAAAACAAAGCCTTGGAGAAAACTGAGCCCAGTTCTTACAGCTGTTTCCCCTGATCACACGGGCCCATCAGCACCGTTCTATATTTACCTACATCCTGGGTTACACACACGAGGGAGGAGGCGGGGGTGGAGGAGGGGAGGACTTTAACAGCACAGGAAGATGGACAAGGGTTAGCAGCTCAGGGACACTTTGATTAAACAGCAGCCTGGGTGGGCGCGATGGCTGAGTCAGGACCCTGTGATGATTCTTCCCCCCGAAGCCATCATAAACGCTCCCTCCGCTGGACCCTGGCAAAGCTGTTAAGCCGGCAACTGGGTACCAAACAGCTCTGTGTCACATGAGAGGCCTGGCTGGAGTCACAGTGGCCCGGGATACTATTCTTAGCTGCAGGAATGTACACAGTGGCCTCATGGCAATCTCCACAGCGCCTAACTGGAAAGCCTTGTCGTTTCTCTGTGTCATGCTCCTTCCCTGACTACGCTACACACTTTCTCTCTGGATAATGTTTTAACTCTCTTTTAATTGGTTTTCTTCTAATCAGACTGACAAGATACTTTGGATATTGTCGATCCTCTGAGGGCAGGAGGTAAGGATTCACCTCGTCACAGATGTTGCTGATGAACTGACAACAGGTTCATCAGACAACAGTTCGACTCAGATCTTATGATTTTGATTTGATTTGGTCACACAGAGCATGGTATTGATGTTTTACTTATTATGAGAGCTCTAAGGAGTCAGACTAATGATGTAGTGAGTCTGGACCACGTTATTATCAGATTTATTTGTTTTAGTGGTATATTCAGAAATTAGTTTCGGATATTTGAACACAACAATATTGTGGCAGTTTCTCAATCTGATGTTAAATCACTAGAAAGCAACAAATTCTATTAACTCAAACAACATTGTTGGACTTGAAATTCCCTACCAGCAGTCCTCATTTAAAGTCTGAGGCAAAACTGCCAGTTGTGAAATGTCACTCACAGCCATTGGCATTTAATAATATACAATAACGATTAGCGGTCTAAATATATCAGTCAGGCTGGGCCCCGTAAGTGGGAGTAAATCAGTAGCTGACGCGGGGATGATTAGAAGACTTAATGTTGCTAATAGCCCAATGAAATTTGTGCTCTTTAGACAGCAGGATCATAACAAACACTTCAACCAGGAAAAGACAGACTGAAGCTGTATGAGACAAGTAGTAAGTAGGAAGTAAGTAGCACCACAAAAAGGATCATAAGAGAAAGACGTGTCCAAAGAGAGAATTCCAGAGCAGCGGAGAAACAAACACACATGGTCTGTTGACTCTAAATGTTAGCTGCGATGGGCAGCTTGATAACAGAGATGTGGCCTAATGGTACATGGATGCATCGAGATAATTTAGAGGGGGTTTAAAATAGAAATCTGTGAGTCAGTAATTCACATTAAGGACAGCTGCACTGCAAGAGTTTAAAGAGATTGACAGAGAGAGGAAGCAAATGTGTCTTTTTAAGAATTTCTAGCCAAGTAATTAAACTTTTTAATGAGAATCTTTTTTTTCAGACACTAATTTTTATTCAGAGGAGGGCACTTGTGTATGTTTTTGAGCTTAATTATGTTATCAGTGTCTTTGGTTTAGACGTGCATCTATTCTCACTGCAAAACAGAAATACTGAAAAACAAAGGTTCAGCAGAATGTAAGCTGGCCTTTTTGGTTTTATAGAGATGTGTCACTGTTCAGACACTCGCCTCTCTCTTGAATGAAACATCTTCAAGAGCTAAAATGAGAAGTCCAGTTCTCATAAAGCACCCTGACCTGTATGACTGAGAATCTACACAGACAATGAATAACTACAATCATAAAACAGTTCCTCATTTCCCCTCTCCTCTACAGAATGGCCGTTAGACCACGAGAGGTTTTCTCTTTCAAAGACTCTGAACTTCCCTCCCACCTGCTCGCCCAGCTCAACATCCTCCGGCAGGAGCGCATCCTGACAGACGTGCTGCTCTGCACCGAGCACCAGGAGATCCCCTGCCACAGGAACGTCCTGGTGTCCAGCAGCCCGTACTTCCGCGCCATGTTCTGCAACAACTTCCTGGAGAGCAGCCAGGCCCGTGTGAACCTGAGGGGAATCTCTTCGAACGTGCTCGTCGGCATCGTGGACTACGTTTACACGGGCTGCGTCACCATCACCATGGAGATTGTGCTGCCGCTCATGCAGGCGGCGTCCATGCTTCACTACGGAGGCCTGTTTGAGGCCTGCTCCATGTTCCTCCAGGACCAGCTGAGTCCAGAGAACTGTCTGAGCATGATCCGGCTCTCTGAGATCCTGCACTGTGAGAGTTTGAGGGAGAGGGCGAAGGAGATGGCTGTGAGGTGTTTCTCTGACGTAGCTGCCACCGAGGATTTCTGTGAGCTGTCTCTTCCTGAGCTCATGTGCTACCTGGAAGATGACCGACTTTGTGCTGAGGAGGAGCAGGTGTTTGAGACCCTCCTGGCGTGGATCCACCACGACCCGTTCTCACGACGTGGAGCCATCCACGATCTCTTCAAGAAAGTGCGTCTGCGCTACATCCATCCCACTTACCTCTTCCAGTTTATTGCCAATGACCCGCTGGTGCAGTCGTCCACACTCTGCACTGAGATCATCGAGTCAGTTCGCCGCCTTATGCTCACAGTCAGCACCAAGTGTAGCCGTGAGCTGAAGCCACTTTGGACCACACCGAGGCGTTACACCTGTAGAGAAACATTAGTGGTAGTTGGAGGACGCAAAAACAACGAGCAGACTTCACGAGAAGCGTTGCTATACGATGAAAGGACTCATCGTTGGCAGTGGTTGGCCAAGCTCCCTCTTCGCCTCTACAAGGCTGCATATGTTTGCATTCACAGCATCCTCTATGTGCTTGGCGGGCTCAGCCTCTGCATGACGTCAGGCGACAGCTCGGTCAGTGCCACAGTTTACACCCTCTCCCTTAAAACCAACCAGTGGAGGACTGCTGAGCCCATGTTGGAGCCACGATACGCCCACCAAAGCGTGTCCTACCTGCACTTTATTTTCGTGTTAGGAGGCATTGGGGTAGACAAGCGAATCTCTCAGTCGGTCGAGAGGTATAACAGCATGTTTAATCAGTGGGAGGCCATGGCACCGATGCCCACAGCAGTGCTTCATCCAGCTGTTGCAGCCAGTGATCAGAGGATCTATGTTTTCGGGGGGGAGGACGCCATGCAGAACCCAGTCAGGCTGATTCAGGTAGAGAAGACTTCCTATACTAGCATCACTTGATCAACACTCACCCATCATTCACATACAGAAAGTTCAAAATTGGAAATTCTTAAGAAATTCTAGAATGTCACAGAAGCATTTTGGTCACTTACAATCTCTTGATGTTTGTGTTGTGAAACAGGTGTATCACATCTCTCGTAACTTGTGGTCCAGGCTTGAGACCAGGACAGTGAAGAATGTTTGTGCTCCTGCTGCCGTCATAGAAGACAAGATCTACATCATAGGAGGTGAGCACACATTGTTGCCTAGAAAAGCAAACAGGTTGTTATTGGTCACCTTTATTGGTCGTCTCAGCAGTCAGATCTTCTTTGTGCTGAAAAAGACAAACGTAGAAATGTAATTAACATCCGTACAGTGGAAGGACTGTCTGACATTGTTCACAGAAACAGCTTCTTCTGTATTTCTACATAAAAGAAAACGAGATCACAACGTATGAGTATGTTCCTGAAACAGCTGGACACTGTCGTTTAGAGTTGCACACGCAAGAAGAAATAGCTTAACTTAAACAATGAAATACTGTAACTCACTTGGGTTTTTACTAGCTTTTTTGATACTCTTGCAAACTGTATATAAAAGATGGATGCATCCACTGTGACGTCCCTCACTGGTAGACTATCGTTTTAAAGCCGTGGCATTTAGATTTATAGCAGGGGTGTCCAATCCTGGTCCTCGAAGGCCACAATCCTGCATGTTTTAGATGTTTCCCTCTTCCAACACACCTGATTCAGATGATCAGATCATCATCAAGCTCTGCAGAAGCCTGATAACAATCCTGATCATTTGAATCAGGTGTGTTGGAAGAGGGAAACATCTAAAACATGCAGGATTGTGGCCCTCGAGGACCAGGATTAGACACCCCTGGTTTATAGAAACAGAATCCAACAAAAGATACAATTGCTAGAGGACATTACATATGCTGATGCAGTTGTGACCTGTCTATCACAAGGTAGCCCTGCTTTATCATCTATTTTACTTGAAATAGGACCCTAACTCGCAAAAAGAACCCCCTGTTGTATTTTAGGAGTCTTAAAACTAGCCATTGAGATCATAAACTCACTGAGAAAATGTTTACTGAGGTAACAAATCAAGTGAGAATTAGGGTAATATCATCATAGACTTCTATACAAGCTGACTTCTTTTTGCAACTGAAGGAGTCGCCCCCTACAGGCTGTTAGAAAGAACGCAGGTTTAAGATGCTTCCATGTTAGCTTCGGATCCGGAAGCTACGTCAACTTTGTTACACAGTCTGTTGAAAAGCTACGTTTGAAAGGACAGACAATGTGAGTTTGGTGGGTTTTTTAAAATCTTTTTATGAGATATTTTCACAATAAGAAAAAGAAGGTATATCACCGGATGTGTCATTTAAAGTTGGCCTAATGAAAATCTAATTTCCAGGATACACCAGGCGAATGATTGCCTACGACACCAAAGCCAACAAGTTTGTAAAGTGCGAGAACCTTAAAGAGCGAAGGATGCATCACAGCGCTACAGTGATCAACAACAAGCTCTACGTCACCGGTGGACGCATCCTCAATGGCCACGATGTCATCGAGGACTCGGACTGCTTCGAGTGTTATGACCCAAAAACGGATGTTTGGACGTCCAAAGGTTCTCTTCCATACAAGCTGTTCGACCACGGCTCCCTGCCCCTCGTCTGTGTTTCCAACAGACCCAACCCACCCTGACCTGCCATCCAGTTGTTCTTCTCCTCCCCTTTGCCATGATTTATTGGCCTCTAACTACGACAATGGGAAACCATTTCACACTAACTACATTCCTTCACGCAGCTCCGTCTCTGCCACCACTTAGCGGCATGTTAGGCCAGGCTGACTTTCATCTGAGTCAAAGAAGAGCTGAACCGACGTGCGGCGGTGTCATTTTCTGAGGCACCTGGAGTGGAACTGAACTGAGAACCTAAGAGATGACGAGAGGCAGTCATACTTACACGACAAGCAGCTGCTCACACATGCGTAATCCAAAAAGCTGTTTCCACAAATGGCTGCACTTGTTGGAGGCTAACTAAAAGTGTTAATGCTTTGATTTACACACGGCATCATCACTCTGCGTGGCAGCTGCAGCAAACGTTTCTGTAACAATTCTATGATCTCTTGTAAAACTGAAAATGACATAGCTAATAATTTGCACTTTATAGATGATAAAGAATTACATTCCTCCTGCGAACAACTGCGACATGAACAAGCTCCTACGGCAAAGTAAATGTAGCTGCAGCTTCTGTCATGTTTGGTGAAATCTTGCAAAGAAGAACTCAAATGAAAATTATCCGGGCCAACATTATTCCAGTTTGGAGGCTTGATTCTTGACTGTGAATTATTCTTGTAAAACCCATCAAAGCATCATTCTGTGCATCATTTCATGGATGTTTCACTGACAACACACCAGAAGTAGAATATAAAAAAATGCTCTAGATTAGTCAAAGCTCTCTAAACGAAAATGTGAATAGCTCAGTGGCGGTCTACTTTTAATTTCATCATGTGTGCAAAAAGAAAATGTCTTCACGGCCAGCTGATGCATGTTTATGTGACGGCATGTGACAATGCTGCCTTTGAACGCCTCGGGAGGATGTAGCGTTATTCAGCATTGGAAGCCCTGTATCAGGCTCAAGGGGGGAACCTGTAGGTGGCGAGTTGGAAGCCACTGATCTTAAATCAAGCTTTCATTCATCTGAAAAAATAATCAGACAGGAAAAATGCTATAACAGAAGGAATGTGGCAAAAAGCTTTAGAACAATCGCTGCTACAGATGTCAAGGCTTCTGCTGGTGTTACATCCATCTTCGTCCTTCAGCCCCTCTTGTTGCTCACAGAACGTACCTCCGTGCTCCAGTCCCCGGCCCTGGCAACGACTGCCATGGCAACCTTATTATAACCCTAATGGATAATTTGTGGTATGCGTGCGTGTAAGGATCCTATCTATTTAAGACGGCACCACTGATCGACTGCATGATGGGTTGCTGTTACTTGCACATTTGAGATGCTCTGTTTATCATTAAAATGTATTATTTCTTGTACGTCGTGTCGATATTGTGGACACCGATTTGTTCCGTGTGACGTAAAAGAACAAGGAAAACCCAATTCCTGTTGCTTCGAATCTCTGGAAACATGAATGCAATCGATACAGGAGAATGCTAGAAATGCTGGTTTTGTTCTGTTTGTGAGTTGACCTTGGTGCACATTCATCTGGTTCTCCATTTGTCTGCAAAGTAGCTGAGTCATGTTCCTTTCATAACAAGGGAACATTGTTGGTAGGGACACAGGAACATGCTCTGGCTATCAGGTGACACACTTGCTCTCCATACATCATTAAATACCAGAGCAACATCCATTAAAATCCTGCATTATATTTAACTTTGGTAGGAAATGATTAAATACATTGCTGTATGTTAGACTGACGTGTGCCGACCTCTTGACCCCTCAGGTCACATTCTCTTCATCCAGAGTGTCTGGCATCAAGTAGCTCCACATGCAGGCTGAATATCCAGTTCCCAGCGGCCCCTCCCTCGAGAGGCTCACTGTTTGCGCAGCGTACTTGTGAGTCGGCCCCCAGTGAAGCTGACGAGATCTGGCATCAGATTTCCCTTTTAATCCTTTGTCCATTAGCGTGGAAGCACTGAAAGTTGTCCAGGAGCGGCAACTTAAAAAAAAAAAAAAAGAAAGGGGGGAATTTCGTCACAGCTCACATTAGCAAGCTCAGGCTGTCACTGGGTTAAAAGGCTCCTTGTTATCCTGCTCGCTCTAAACGCCTCACACTAACCCTCTGTGTATGAGCGACAACTGATGCCCGACCACAATGTTACGAAGACACACATTCTGCGCAGGATGATCCACAAGCAGAATGCCTGAAAGTCAAACCTTAGACGTTCAACACAAACAGAGACTCTCCTGCATCATTCGCCATCAGATCCTCGACTCTGAAAGTTTTTATTGAGCCGCTGCTGCACACACAGTCTATTCAGATTGTTTACCGACTGTGTTTGCTTGCTACCTTTCCATAGAAACCCTTGTGTGAGGGTCACCCTTCAGGGAGGCTGTGGCCTGGCGGGTTATTTTCAGTGTCTGTTACTAGCCCATCAAGGGATAGCATTTCATTGCCTATTTTGTGTGCACACATACAGTAATTGCAGTTAGAAGAACCATATGAGCACGCAGGAGTAGCATGCGTGCTCCAAACCAATATATAAACTTACATAACCCATGTGTAGAAAATAAACTTAACTAGACTACACTGTAGCCTCAAACAACATTTAAAGACGCTTTCCTTGCTGATTGTCGACTCGGATCAACAACACAGAGAAGAACCACGTGAGACTTTATTTCCTGGTTTGAAAGAAACGCCACAATGAACACCTGTTTGGAACAATTTTAAATACTAACTGAGGGGTTTCCCTGCTGTGTCATTTGAGAAGGCCTTTTGCCAGACTGCAACTTCATCCCCTGTGTTAATGTGAGGGACAGGGGGATTAACACGGTTTACACCAACACAGCCAGGGGTGGAGCACAGATGCTAAGAGATCCTGTCATCTGTGTGGATTCTTTCTTTTTTTTTTTCCCAACAAAGTAATAGCTAGATCAAACACCTAACAGCTTTCAGATATCATGCTGATTTGAAATTGAGGTACAAGCAGCAGATAACAGCTTTGACTGACTTTTGAGCAACGATTATACAAACTGGAAAAAACAGGAAACTTGCAGAAGAACAGGAAAACATGTTTCATTGATAAAGTTGACCCTGCATAAAATGTCTACATCCAAGTTTTCTTAACTGTTTCTCATCAGCAGAGCTCACATACTGCAGAGCATTGCTAAGCCAGCATAATTAAACGCATCTATTCCTGAATCAGACAAAGCCACATAAACTGCCTGCAGTACAGATCCTCTTCCACCTGATGTCCCCAAGCCTGCAGGCCGCCATGAAGCCGACAGACAGATTTCATTTGTGTTGTGCCTCTATTGCCCTCTGCTGACTGACATGCCTTTGCACATAAGCGCTCTGTAAGGTTTGTTAAATGTATTTCTACCCTTCCAGTAAAGAAAAGGCAAAATTCACAATAGTCACTCAAATAACTAGAAACTGAAAAAAGTAATAATAAATAAAAATTTGCTAAATTATAATTCAGTGAAATAAGACATTGCTTTTGAATTGTGGTTGAAAAGATTAATTGAAAAAATATATAAATAAAAAACTGTCCCGGACAAATTAGAGCACTTTGCTGATGAGCAGTGAAATCCAAACACCTGTCAACAGGTGCAGAAGTCTGATTGAGAGTTACAGAAAACACTTGATAGCAGTGATTGGCTCAAAGGGTTGTTCAATGAAATATTAGTTCATGGGTCCCATCATGCTTGTTTTTTATTTTTTTTAAATATATATATTTCTGTTGAACCACAATTCAAAAGCAACGTCATTATTTTCATTAATTTTTTATTTATTATTACTTTTGTCAGTTTCAACTTATTTCAGTGACACCTGTTTTTTCCTTCTTTAACGGGAGAGTATGAATACATTTAACTGTACATCCAACACACTGGATTTTAAATTCAGTAAAAGCGCGACAAACGTAAGAATCATGTTGATTTTATTGTATTTACCTTCATAAAAACAAACAGATCACAGTACAGCATGCACACATTCCTAACAGAGGTCTAAAATAAAACTTGTCGGATGGACTTTTTGGAACATGGCATCGATAATTACCAGGCTGGTTAGGCTTTGTGTTCATTTGGTAACGACTGTCACAAAACACACTACGTGAACATGTGTGTCTGTGTGTGTGTGTGTGTGTGTGTGTGTGTGACTGTGAACGGGAGAGTCTTTTAAAAGGAAATAAAATGTTCATAAAGCCTATTCAATGACAGTTATACACTTAAAATGCCTACATTCAACTCATTGGAGCGCTTTGTTTTAGTCATTATTCTTTTCTACCAGCAGCCACTCACACACATTTTCATTCAATGAGGAATCCTGGGAAATGGCACTGAAAAAAAATAAACATTTTAATACTTATTAATTAAGACAAAAACCCAACATAAACTATATTTTTTTCTTTTAAATAAAAGTGCTATTTTTAATTAAGAAAAATCTTAACACTGAGAAGTTTATAAACTATACAAACATAACAGAAATAAAATCTTATGACAGAAATAGAATATAGAACTAATAATAAATGAACATTTTCAAATAAAGAAATCTTGAAACATGGTAAAATTATACTTTGACTTAGTTCAGAATCTTATATTAAATTTCATTTTTGGAACCGTTAAGATTTACAGCATGTACACATTCACATACCCTACATGTCTGTGCTTCTATTGCCCTGTTTGGAGAATGGAGGGGGCAAGAGACCAAACCTTGAATTAACCTAAAATGCCCTCCCCCATTTACTTTATGACACATATGTACAGTAGGTCCATGACTACAAAGGCAATGAGAGAAAACAAAAAATACATTTTGGCACCAGGCACAGAATTGAATATACATTTTACCTCAAAACTAAAATCCGCCCAGAAAAATAATCAGACTTTTCTCATTTCATCGCAGCAACAGTAGATTATAGTAAATATGCATTTAAACTGGCGAAAATAAAAATGAAAGATGTAACATTTGGCATAATTGTTGCTGGAAGAATAAGAGGAGGAGCAGGGGACTGGCAGAGATCTACCCCAGCAGACCTGACAGGAGGATCTACAGTGCATTTCTGTCAAAAGACAATCGGTTGTTCTTCCTGAGTGCTTGAAGTAAACAGGAACTGGAAAACGTACTGATAGCTAAGATTAAGGTTGGGCCTTGGAACTATTTACAATATGTCACTGCCACTTTTGGCTTTCTGTGTCATCTGCTATCACTTCTATGGCAGCGCAAACCCTTACCTGGTTCACAACGGGGACGTCAGCAGCTCAGTTTACGCAACATGCCCTGAATTGTTGCTGCCACTTACGGAAACATGGCTGTCCTTCGTTATCTGGCAGCTAGTGCAGAGTCCTGACCAGCTACGACCAACGATAACAACTTTTCCTGAGAGGGGATAAGGTATAAGAACCTCTACTAGCTTACTAGGGTGGGAAGGACTGGCTTCATGGTAGCATCTGGTTATTTATTTTAAATCCCCATTCATATGTACAAAATGCAGTTAATCAGTCCGTTTCAAAACTAGGGGATTTTATTTTTTTTGTTATTTTTTATTGAATGACTAAGGTCTGAGAGAGATGCTAACAAAAGTGCACAGGACAGTCCTACACCTCGTTGATGGTGCGCTCCGAGGGCCTGAAGTTGACCGAGTTGGACGATGACATGTAGAAGGATTGGGTTTTGCGGTTGAGACGAGCCCGCTTGGAGGCCACACACAGGCTGCGTTTACTGGAGGAGATGATCTCTGTGATGAACTTTTTGCAGTCTACACAGACCTCCATGGCCACCCAGTCCTCGGTCAGCTCCTTGGGCAGCTCTGGCTCGTCCAGCGACTGTCTGTCTTTGCTGCTGCTGTGCTTGGACAACCTGAAGGGGAAGAAACAGTGAACACGCATTCTGACATGGCATGGCATTACATTTGCTCAGCATATATTAAGACGTGGTAATTCTGCTTTAACGTACTTAGAAACGCTTCTGCGTAAGCTGTGTCGGCTTTGTGCAGACCCAAAGGGCTGCTTATCTGGCTCGGCGGGGCCAGAAGCTGCGCCACCCTCCTCTTTAGTCAGAGCGCTGTGGCCCAGAGAGTAGATGGGCAGCGTGGAGTAGGGCTTAGACGGCAGCCGCATCTGAGGTAGAAAGATACACAAACATGATGAAAACTGCTCATGTGGTTCATCAAGCACCTGCTGGTGTTCACATAATGGCTCATGGGTGTCAAGAGCGTCAGCGTACTGTGAAGTGAGCATGCAAAAGTGTGTTAAATTAAAGTCCTACCTTTTTAGAACACTGGGAACACACAGGCCTGGAGAAGATAAAAAATTAACTTGTAAGTTACGCATTACAGAACAGATGCTTTACTTAAGAGAGTACTCTGATTTAGCTTTGCACTCATGGAAAAGTTTCAGTTTAAAACAGTTCTTGTTCCTGGTTAATCCCCTGAACCTAAAACCTCCCTGTAGGTTCAAAATGTATGTTGTCAGGCAGACGTTACAAAGTCCCACTAGCCCACAAAAACATCTAGAAAAAATCCTTCATTCCCACTGCAATAACCACAAAATGAAATAAGATATTGATCAGGACATTTTATCGGCTGCTGTTTCTTTTTAGCAATTATTTTAGACGTCTGTGCTTTGTGAGCTTAAGTGTGTTTTATATGTTTTATATTTTCATTGTTGGAGTCTTGTCAAAGGAGAATTTCTGTCACTATTTGGGACAGACAATAAAGTCTATCTATCTATGTTAAAAAAAATAAATAAATAAAAAAAGCCAATTTATAAGATCAGTAACATCAGGTCAAATGATTTTCAACATGTTCACTGTCCTATAATTACTTAACTGTATGTGCTGTTCTGATAGAAAACTAAACTAAATCAAAGCATAAATTGTGATGTATTCTATTCTTTTAAACATTTGCCAAAAAAGCCATTTGCAATAATCAGATTCTATTAAAAAGGAAAAACCCAGGAAACTGTGGTGCAACTGTGACGCCATTAGTGACTCAGCTACAAACAACAGCCTTGTGACAAAAAACTTTTTTGGCTGTGCTGACACAGAGCAGATAATAGACAAGGACTAAGAAAAAAAAACAGTAAAATATCTGTAGTATGTAGAGGAAGCTTAAAATTAAACTTGTTTTTTCCCCTTTGTTTGTTATTTATTTGAACTGTGGTTCACTCCACAACAGAGATTTCTGAGCTCTCTTTACTTCTAGCCAAGGTTGTGCTGGACTGTATGTCACACAAAAAAATGAGGCCACAGTTAGTAAAAATGTGACAGGACCAAAGAACAGCCAGAAACCTCTTTGGATTCCGAGGGTTAAACATTGACGCCAACATGAACCACGATCCAACTCAACTGCAGACACGTGTACTAGTCACTGCAGGTTGTTACGCTCTGGTCTGGTGAGCTCAATGCTTTCAGCCGCTCTACACAACTTTTTTTTTCCATTTCCAACATGGCCAAGTGGTATCACATGAGGCAATGTTTCAGATTTCACACATCCCCCTCTTGAGACTTTCTACAACTTTCTCACATATGCAGCAGCACTCCATACCAACACACTACGATGATGACAGTATTAAGCTGAGTAGTTCTAGTAACAGTGACTCCATTTACCTTTTGCAGAACTGGCAGGTGTAGGACCAGGTAAAGAGGGAGAACCTTTTGGTCCGACACGAAAAGCAAAGCTAGACAGGAAAGAAAATGAGATGAAAAAAAAGGTACATGGTGCCTGATGCTTTTCAACAAATGTGGGTTTAAAGACAAAATTCTCCACGTGGTTTCTACCTTTCCTTTCTTGAGAGCGTTGTAGATGTCTTTGTATTGCTGGAACTTCTCGAGCTCGGCCTTGACGAGCACCTGTCTGATGTGCATCACCTCCTCCACGGTCAGAGCCAGACACTCCACTGGGTAGCAGAACTCCTCCTGGAGGAAGACACAAACATTACATCAACAAGCTGCGCTTATTCATACAGATCAGTAAACGCTTAACCCAGGAATGTGCAATAAGTGATGGTATCTGCTGCTGATGGGACCGACACCACGTGGATGGAGATAAATGCACCAGTTCACCAGAAGACCAAACGTGCAGTGAGATGGTGAGGATGGAAGGAAGAGATGCTTCCACTGAAAACAAACGCACAACTTCCAGGTGACATAGCAGACCTGCCATGATGTTAATCCACAACTTTTGGTTTTTATTCTTTGCCACAATTCTATATGAAATGTGGGAGTCATCTTAACATACTGGATGGCTTCCATCATTCAGAGGACCAATTAAGATACCACCAGTGTTTTCTAGTTAGAAGTGGATCCCCATCATGTTCCTAGCTGAGGTCACACATGGACATTAGTGACACAACTAGGAGCTAAAAGAACCCCGAAACACTCCACAGACTTGAAAATCTCTCAGGGAATTTGTCTACTCCGTTGCTGCTGTGAATGTTTGTAAATGATTTCTCCTCTTTTGTATACTTTTCCGACCTTCCCTGAGTCATTTTCAGCACACCACAGATCTCACATTCACAGTCATGACACGAGGTCACATCAGTCTACAGCCAGTCTATTGAACCACGTGGCATGCTGGACGGCCTCCCTGCACACAGTGATTCTGATGATACGATTTGATGAATATGCAGGAACGGTGACATACCGTGCCCTGAGCACTGCTGCCAGCTTCCACCTGACCAGCAGACAGAGGGAACAGGACATTCAAACAGAGGTAGGGCTTCATATTCCAACAAGATAATCACACCAAATATGCTTAGATAACATCAAGACAAGAGCTCCATAAAGTCATCTGTCTGTCAGTTATGTAATTAGTTAGAGCCAACTTTGTTAAAGACATTAAGGCAGCAAATCTAATTAAAACATACAAAACAGATGAGAACTTCTGCACAGAGTTCATACAGTGCTTCACTGACTCTCCTCCTTGCATGAGCTCATACCGTTAATTAAGTGTCATTTTCTTTCATATGCCGTATGACATTTAATTTAACAACAAGCAAAGCTTTAGAGTCCCATGATAAAAAAAGTCATATGATATCTTAAAAGGAGGAGAGCAGGCAGAGATGACAGCTGTTATGACAGTTGAATTCTTTCTGCTTCATCACAGACACCAAGGAGCACAAGCTGCTGCTGAATAATCATGTAAACCTGCAACTTAGAACTTACACATCCCTCCTGCTGTTTCCTTCCTCTACTTTGTCCCCTAACTTGTGTTTATTTTAGTTTTGCTACTTTTCTGATATTGTGCAAAAAATGCTTTAAAAAACAAACAAAAAAAAAAGGATGGTGATGGATTAACAGGACGTTGTTACCTTGGCGCCGGGATCCGCCATCAGCTGCAGCATTATGTAAAATAGGAAACGACTGCAAGTAAGTCTTTAGGACAAGATGGCTAACCAGAGTAAACACGCTGATGAGATAAGAGGTGAATCAGAAAGGGAGGGAAGCTGAAGTGTTTTACGTCCACTAAAGAAGCTCAACTCCTAATATCAGTGTAAAAAAGCAAAACCTGTCTGTGCACATTGAAATACAAAAAGAAAATAAAGGAACAAAAACTGGAAACTATATTTTTTAAAACTGAAAACAAAACCGTGTAGCAACTTGCTATTAACAAATAGTAACTACTCTTTAAAATGAATCCTTGACAACATAAACTTGACACTGTTGTGATGCTAATGATCAATAAGTCAAGTGTTAAATATAAAGTATGAAGCCCCAAGAGAGTCGTCTAATCCAGGCTTTGATATGCATTTCCACTGATTTTATAACCTTCCAGTGGTTCTGCTATTAAAAAAGCGAGTGCTGAGAGTAAACCAATTCCATATAAATCCTCTTCATACAGCAGCTGTCCTGTGGTTTCAATTACATCCATCAACTGCACTAGAATCATACCAACAACACGGAGGTACTCAGACGACCAGTGACCTCAAACATATGAGCAGCCACAGGATGGGAGTACATCCAGTGTTATTGGTAGATGTAGCTGCAGTAATGTGCTCTACTCATTTAAATTATACCCATGTCTATATTCATTTGAATTATGCAATTTAAAAGTATCATTTATAAATGATTTACACTCATAAATGCTTCTGAAAAACCACTTTCTACTCTTTTGGCAGGCTTTGATCGATTACAGACCCAGATAACGGTGACTTCTAAGAAGGATAATCTCAGGAATATCAATGAAGAATATAATTTACCATGTCAGTCTTATCATCCAAGTTAAGCATCTGTGGCAGAAAAATCTGCAATTCAATATTTTTCAAACCCAGCTGGAATGTTAAAGATCTTTTATCAACCTCAGGGGCCTCATTTATTCAGTCATTCAGAGATTATAAGCAAGTCAGTAGAAAAAAAAAAAGAATCATAACATAAACGTACCAAAGACTTGGAAGCCTGTCTGGTTGGTGGCACGAAAGGACGGACGCTGGTGGGGGCTTCCTTCTCGATGGAGTGCCGCCTCTGTGGAGACTGGCGCTTGTCCGGCTGGGGGGTGGCAGAGATGGGCAAGAACTTCGGAGGAGCTGCAGATGAGACACAAAAACAGAAATGAATGGAAAAAAGACTTCCAGAGAAGAAACATTAAACATCAGGATACTTTCTGGTTTGTGTTTACACCTTAGATGGACTCGAAGTGAGCAGAAAATACTTTGTGATTTATTCCTATACTATACATACAGTTGTGTGAGGACGCCATTGTCCCATCCAATAAGGAGACTAAAATCCTTCTTAACATCAAGAAGAGGGCCTTCATGTCCAAGGACAGTGAGGCGATCACTATTGTATTCTTTGTGTGCCGCTGTCTTGTGCTGTTGCAATGCCTGAATTTCCCCTATGGGGGATCAATAAAGAATTATCTTATCTCATGTTAAGTTAAGGTTGTACCTTTCTTCCCTGGGAATGTCATGACAGACTCGGGAGACGTGTCCTCCACCAAAGACGTGGACATACTGGAGCTGCTGCGTGTGGGCTCCTCCTGCCAACCAGACAAATGACACACATTAAGTAACTTTGAATTACTTTGAATATTGCATGAATGAAGTCCTTTTTCTCTAAGAACTCTTCACAAGTCGCTGAAGATAATCTTAGTAATACTTTTGAGAAGCGTGTAGAAATAATCCAATTTACACTCCATCAGTGTACACGTCTAGAAAATTCTGCATTAACATGGAAACTATTAATGCCTTCAGAGATAATGCTAACACACAAATGACTGCTAAGCTAATCAGTGTCATTTTATACTTTAGCTGCTACATTGGAACATGACTTGAACTGTAGTATATAGCCGATAGATTTAATGGCGCTGTCAGTTTAAGCAGCTGTCACATTTAGGGGACGGGCATCGTGCATGAGGCAAAGGGAGTCATCGGACATCTTACATCAGATTCGGAGCTGTCCAGCTCGGCCAGCGTGGGCGCTCTGAGCAGCCTCTTCCTCTGTGTGAGTGGCTGCACTCCACTCTGATTGGGTCCCGTGGTGCCGCTGGCCAGAGACTGAGTGCTGCCAGCCAACTTCCTCTGTGCGTCAGGAGTGTCTGTGGGTCAAAGGTCAGGTAGTTAAGAGGTGACGACGTGGCTTCTGACACTGTAGAGAGGTTTGGTTATGGACAGTGTTGCATTACAACTGTCTGGCTTTCTTTACTCTCTGAACTCCAAAACAGGGCAGCAGTTGTACTTTCAACTCTCTGACTGTCCTTGAACTAATCATGTGTGACTTCTGGTTTCATTCAGAGAAACAAACAAATCTAAGCTAACAATCTGTAGATTTCATCAATATCACATTAGTTCACACACAAATGTCTTTTCTGTGCTCTTCAAAGAAACTGAGAAGTCATTAGTGGGTCAGCTGTGACCAACATATGTCAAGAATTTCGAGTTTTTGGTTGAACTGGACTGAACTGAGGATGGAAACAAACTGAAATTATAACTGGAAATGAATTAGAATTAGAACTTTGTTATACTGCACAGAAGACATTCTATGATCTCTGCTTCTAGCCACGGTTGTGTTGTTTCCATAGAGGTGCAGGACTTCATACTGGAGTAAAAAATGAATCCACGGTGAGTAAAAATGTGTCAGAAACGGCTTGTTGTTTAGAGAATAGCTGGCTGAGCTTGCTGTGTAAACCTTTATTCACACTATAGGACACTAATGAGGCAGCAAGGAGAAATAAGGACACTTTGCTTTACCTGAACTGCGGAACAAGTCCTGAGGAGTGCTGATGCTTTTCCCTGCACCTGCAGACAAATTGAGGGAATACACTTGTTAATGAGAGCGCATGAGTCAACATTTTCATTTCTAACACCAGACTAGTACCACAGGGAAGACTTGACAGTAACAAACATCTGTCTGAACAGGTGTGCATTACAGGATGCTACGTGATAGTGGTCAGGCATAAATCGGTTGGGCATCGCTAGAAAGCACAGAGGGAGAGGAGCGTGAGGGGAAGTGGCGGGGAAGCAGAGAAAGACATTGAGTGCAGCCACAGAGCAAAAAGGTTACTGTCGTACACCCATCTGGATCGTGGTCATCCTGTGAACTGTAATGCGACATTCAAATCTTCATCTGCCATTCAGCTGTTTATCTGAGGTAGGCTGCTGACACCAGTGTTATGTAATTCTTCACATCCCAGAGTGAGAGCGGATTAGGGTGACCAGCAGGTCAGATTGGCTGCAGAGGCAGAGTGATGATTTGTAATCTCACATTACTGGCTCCGGTTCAATGGCTATCCCCTATGAGCTAGACCACACATTCAGCTGCTGGGCGTAACCTTTATATATCTGGGGCCGCCACCATTCAGAATTTTTCTAAAATATATGCTCATGATTTTGCTCTATATACCTCGTTGCCTCTAAAATTACTCCAACCGTGTAAAATTAAGTGAGCACCTGCATTAAAATTCCCCTCATCCTGAGATGAAGTTGCACTGTGGTGACCCATCTTTTCCTCAGGGGGAGAAAGTGCCTTTATCATAACAGCCAGTAAGTGACAGTAGTGTGTCATAGATGCACTTGTAAACACGAGCATGAAATATAACAACAACACAAAAAGGTGTGTGTGTGTTGAAATCAGGGAGGGGCAGGAGCTACTTCTAAAAATAAGCCTGGAATGAAGCACAAGGTACAACAACAGGAGTACAATAGGTGAACTTTACCTGATGAGTCAAAACTGTAAGACATGCTAAGCGGTCGCATGACTGACAGACATGCCCATGTTTGGAAAAAAAAAAACAACAAAATAAAATCAAATCGGAGAAAAAGAAAAAAGTTTAAACAGACGATGAAGTCAGTAAATCATCAGGGTTTTTCCTTCGTAGAGGAATTTAGCATGAAGAGGTTTCGACAGTGTCGAAATAATAATAGAGTTTAGAAGAAATACGTTCTTGAAACTAGTTTTGTTACTTGTGGCTATATTTAATCAAATGTCAAAGCTAGTTTTATTTATCAGATCACCACAAATAAGAGGTAAATGCATAGATGTGGGGAATAACACAGATCCGTTGCCTTTACTGTCCATGCTTCCTGTCATGCGTAATGACCTCCCAGAGGCCCATTCTGAGCCAGGAAAAACCCTGATGATTATAAAACATATCATTCATTAAAATAGACTGTTCTACCCAGGCTCTATAATCTCAGATTTTCAGAAATACTTCCACAGAACTGTACAATCTCCTATGTATGATTATGCAACAGCTGCTCCATGTTCCTAAAGCCGTTAACAAAAGGAGTCTTGTGTGAACTGCATAGAACGCTGTATGGTATAGAACGCTGTAAACATTTGCTGTTGTAAACTGATTAAAGCATTTAATGGTTTGAAATGTTATCTCCACTTGGCCAATTATGAGTAAAACATACCAAACGGATAATCTCCCTCCTTTGCACTGCTTTGCCTCAGAGGCAGCTTTTCACATTGTGATTTTATAAAACGAATGTCAGCTTAGTTTTCCGTTCATCAGTAGCTGCAGTGACAGTTACTTCAGCAGCATCAGTCTGGTAAACACCTGAAGGCTAACAGCCACAGTCAGAGTGATCCTTGTTTAAACACTAAGACACTTCTGATTAAGTGAGCAGGAGGAGTGCTGTTAGAGTAATTGTGATGGATGCGTTTAAGAATGATTAAGTCACGGTTAATGGTTATTGTCGTTAGTGGATGGGTTAGGCACATGAAGATCAGCCGTGCAGTAAGCCGCCCGCCGCGCTCGCAAAGAGAAAAGAGGTGAAGAGCTTTCTTCAGCTGATGCTAATAGTTGGAACAAAAAGGATTGTTGATTTATGTGTGAGTTATGTTCAGAAGAGTGTTGAGGGATTTTTGTGTAACCCTCTGAACCACAAAACCTGCTGGCAGGTTTGAGAGGCATTTTTTCTTTAAAAAAGGAAAAGTTAAACCCATAAAAGTTTTTCCCAAATTGCCCTCTTTTTTCGGGTCCGGAAGCTGAAAAAAAATGAAAAAATCTTTGGTTTCTCAACTTTCTGACAGTGTTTGAACTACTCATGTGGGATGTGCAGTTCCTTTAGCAAGATGATCTGAATTTTGAAATTGAGATATCTCATTCACTTTTTTCAAAAAATTCAGAAAAAAAACGAACATTTGCAGTAACTGGATTCTGTTAAAAAAATAAAATAAAAATAAATATATATATAAATCAGTCCTGTTTGGTGCAACTGTGAAGCCATTAGAGACTCAGGTGCAGCCAACAGTCACGCTAGAAACTTCTGAAACTTTTTGGCTGAATGGACTGTAGGCTGCGCTTATGCAGGGCAGATAGGAGACAAGTATGGAAACAAATTAAACATCCATCCATCCATTCATCATCTACACACCGCTTAATCCTCACTAGGGTCGTGGGGGGCTGGAGCTTATCCCAGGTGACTTAGGGCGAAGGCAGGAGACACCCTGGACAGGTCACCAGTCTATGACAGGGTAACACTTAGAGACAGACAACCAAGCACACTCACATTCACACCTACGGATAATTTAGAATCACCAATTAACTTCAACATGTTTTTGGATTGTGTGGGAGGAAGCCGGAGACGGACGCGCCCACAATGGACAGGGAGAACATGGAGACACCACGCAGGGTGTCCTCACTGGGACATGAACCAGCGACCTTCTTGCGGCGAGGCAACAGTGCTAACCACTGCTCCACCTTGCAGCCCCCAAATTAAACATGCAAGTAAAAAATATACATTTAGCATGTAGAGTCACCATTTGTTTCCAGTATTGGTGACACTTGGGGGCATTTGGGAAATGCTGATTCCAGATTTTCTCGATTTTTTTGAGTAAAAATGTGCCAGGAGAAAAACGGCCACAAACGACTTGGGGTTCAGAGGATTTATGTCCATTTGTGCTGTAAATAAGATAATTTAATGTGTATTAGTGCGTGTCAGCGTCTCACCCAGGCGGCTTCTGCGGATCATGTCAGGTGAAACCGGCCTGAGCTTCCTTTCAGCCTTGATGTCCTCCAGCAGTCGCTCGTGGAGGCTCCGGGGACGTGGAGGGTGAGGTTTCAGTTTACGAGCCGAGACCTGTCCCGACAACGACAAGAGTGAGCGCCCCATTGCCATGGAGATAGGTATGAGATTCCACCTCACACCTCTATTATGAAAGACTGCATGACTTACAGGTGCATTAAGTCATCCAAGTCAGAGTTCATCACTTGACTAACAATGCCAGTGTGATGACGGACATGCATGTATCATTTTGTTCTTCATCATTCACTCCCTGTCAGGCCTATGTGTTAATACAACAAGTGGAAATCAAATATTGATGTCTCTGACTAAGTGTTTTCACAGCTGTGCTAAATGTGGATGCTAATTATCATATTATCTTCTAAACGTTGCCAAACTGAAATTGGACTCTGGTGGGAACACATGAGAGATGAGTGCTGTCAGCTGAAAACAGTAGAGATGAAACCTGGAAGCTTATTTCAGTAAAAATGAAAGACAACAAGGAGAAAAGTATCACACTGTTTACTGGCACTGCATTTTGTTCTACTCACAGGGTTGAGAGGGGGTCGTGACCTGATGAATTCAAGAATGATCTCGTGTGCGCTCTTCTTTAACCTTGGAGGGATGTCTCCATTCACCTGGAATCAGACAGAGGACCATCAACAACAACTTGATACCTCAGAGACAATGAAGGAATGTGACTGTTAATTTGTATAAAGTAGTGGTGGGTGGTCTTATTACTCCAAAACAGCTAAACAAATGTTCATGTGACCCTCACCATGACTTTACGCAGCTTGTAACGTTTGGAGCGGATGTCATCCATCAGCATTTCATAGGGCGTGAGCTGGTATTCAATTGGTAACGGGTTGTACTGACGCTCCTGAACCTTCTTCAACTTGACGCCATTTCGTAGATCTCGCATGACCTGAACCCAGAAGCGTGCCTTCTCAGGGGAAAAAAAAAAACAATGTGATAATTAAGGCTGTTATCTTCTGTACAGATGCACGCAACAGCTGTGGTCAAGTTAAACCTAGTGGTTCTCCAAGTAGAAGTAGATATTGTTCTTACCCAATCTGCGTTTTGCAGCTCATCGAGGTCTTTCACGGGGTCCTCATGAGTCTCGCCCTCCATCCTTCGAAGGTTCTGGCCAAGAAAACAAGAAAGGAAAAACATGAAATGGGAATGGAAAGAACTGAGACAGAAAATTTGCAACGTCATGACATTCAACTCGTGCATCACTGCGCTCACAAGACCGGCGAAAATCAAATTGAGGTCACGGGCAAACTGCCCATATTGTAATAGCAGGCTGGTTAATTAATCAATAGATGCTGTTTCACATGAGCATGTTGATATCCATCTGCATGTTGATATCCATCTGCATCGTTCTGTGCTGACAGCGAGCCAGAGGAGGGAAAAATAGACCAATAGTCCACTAATGACTGCGATTAATGTGTGTCTGCTGAATCTTTTCGGCAAAAGGAAATTATTGAACATGCTGGGTGATTAGTTTAAATGTCATACTGGTTGAAAACAAGCTTTGGAGTTGATGTGTTCAGCATGTGCAACGTTTATCCTTACAGTCTAAGGTAGTTGGATTTGGAAATCCCAGACATGTTTTGCGTTCTGTTGGGTGTATTTTAAACATGTCAGCATGCTATCTTGTCATCTGATTTGCACTTTTCTCAAGGCCACTTCAGGTTCATCAAAAGTTGAACAAAACATGATCTATATCAATTATACAGGAGTTTCAGATCAAACGAAAAAAAAGAAGCCTTAAGGGTTGTTTGCTGGCAACTGCTTTCTTTTCGCATTTCTAATCTAGACATCTATTCATCCACACCCATGTTTACTGCTGAAACGTCCTTCTTCCTTAGTCTGTTTTTCTTTAATCATATTCATCCTACTATTTATCCTCCACCTTTGTGACTCAGGAGCCACCAAAGTTTCAGTTTGCTGTTTTCTATACTGGCAGAAAAGAGGGGAACCCAACAGAGGGAGTCCGTACAAACTGACAGAAAGCAGAAAAACACTGAAACAGCCAGAGAAACTGAGAGCAACACTCATTGACTAACCCCCTAATCAGTAAGCATGTGTGATGTGCGCTACCATGTGTGGTTACTTATTAGTAATTATCCAGTAACATTGAGTGCTACAGGGAGCCCCATGTAGCCGAGTGGTCCAATCCCTTCCTATAAGCTCCTTAAATTTCTGTAATAAGGTTAAACTTGATTCTATAACCATCTATTACATAAGATTGTTTGCATCCACCGTGCCTGCTGCAGAAGCCACAGCTCGTGTGAACATACTGTACGGTGAAGCTATGCCGTCTGACAAGTCGTAGACCAAGTGTTACGGCAACATCCTCCTTAAACCTCAGTTAGATCACTGCAGACAACAGAGAATTTCAATTCATGTCTAGTTTGAATGCTTAAGTGAGCTTAGGAAAGGGTTTTTGTTCCAGCACTTCTCTGAGACATTCTTTAGAAATGTTCTTTAAAATAGATGCACACAATTATCAGCATCATCATCAGGTGTAAATTGTAAGTGAACAGGGTGTCCAACAATGACGTAATTGTATTATTAAGTCTATGAACAACAAAGTAGACTCCAAAACATGACTATACTCTCATCTGTCATATTTCGATTGGCTTAAGATGCCGATGACATAATCCAATGCATATTTCTTTAACCCTCTGCATGTTTCTTCGTCACGTTTTTAACCACTGTACGGTTATTTGTCACTACGCTATAAATTCTGCCCCTCTATGAAAACAGCACAGCCACAGTTAGCAGTAAAGACTAGTCAGACATATCTTTTGTACAGTTTAACAAAGTTAGAATGCTGTAAATCACGTTACAAGTTCACAAAAATTGAACATAAACATTTTTCCGAGTGCCCACAGGTGTTTCTAGCACTCGAGGAAAATGGTGACTACACACTACAGATACTTAACCTTTTTATTATTTTTTTAACTTATTTGCTTGCGTACTTTTCCCCTACCTGCTCTAAACCAAGCCTCATGTTCAGCTGAAAAGTCCCACGTTTTGATCACATGACTGTCGGCTGCAGCTGAGTCACCAATTAGATTAGATTAGACTTTATTGTCATTACACATGTACAAGTACAAGGCAACGAAATGCAGTTAGCAGCTCACCAGAAGTGCAAAAGTGCAGATATATTGTTAATATATATAAACTATGGTATTGACATGAATATATGGCTCCACTAATGGTTTCATGGTTGAGCAGAAGTGCAGAATTTAAGCTTTTGTTTTTACTTTTTTACAAAATTTCTAATCTCAAAACGTTTCATTTCTGGCAAACTTTTAAATAAGCTGAAGAATAAGGATATTTTGATGAAATGTTACTATTTTTCGTTTAGATTTGGTGTTTTTCAGACGTAACAGCACCACAGATGAGTAGTTCAAGGGCTGTAGGAAAGTTCACAATCCAAACCAATCCATTTTTACAGTTTTTACAGTTTCTGGCTCCAAAAAAAGGTGCAATTTTTCTTTAAATATAACATGAATTTCAAACCTGTCTGGTTTTGGAGTTCGGAGGGTTAATAGTGTTTTGTCATTTACCTTTTAATGTTGAATTTTTAATAAAAAGACCAAATCCAAGCACATCTTGGTTGCCAGTTGTCTAAAACATTCTGTCACTAAGAAGCACAACAACGACAACAACATGGAACTCCTCACTAATCTTTATCAGTCGCTCCAGCACCAATACGCCGCTTTCAGACAGAAACTTTCCAGCTAGCTTGTAGACAGACGCAAGAAACAGGATGCCAGATCACGTTCATGCACAATTAAGTTATGCCAAGCAATTGAGCTCCCAGCTGCCCTGGCAAATGGGTCAGAGAAGGACACTCACACAGTTTCAATCATTCTACACTATTGTCTCTTTGTGGACTGTTTTGTTGTTATTGTGCTGTTTCTGGGCACCTCTCTGGTGTTTTTCTCTCCCCAGCAAAAGGAAGTCTGTCGGCCTTGACAGATCTTAATTCAATTCCACCCAGTAAAGCCACATACCAAAGCAGAGCGACAAGAAAGTTTGGCACTTTCTCACAACCTCTTATCTGCTCTGTGCTTCGAATCACACTTTTCCCTCGCTCTTTCGCCTCACTTTTATATTCATATTTTGACAGGTCTGTGATGTGCAAATGAGTCAAATAGTCTAAGTATGACTCATGGACAAAATTACCAGACTTGGCATTGCAGAGATAAGTAAAAAAAATATGTTTAAAGTGAGTGCAGACATTTGTCAGACTTGTCCGCACTGGATGTATTAATAACTTGCAGATGTCAGGTGTCAAAACATCTCACCTCCTTGGCACTCTTGATCTTCCCCAAGAAGGTGTGTAGTTCCCTGCTCTCGGCGTAGAGAGCCCGACACACGGCCTGGTAGTGGTTGGGGGCGTCTGATGGGCTGGGCAGGTGGGAGGAACATATCTGTGCAGGTGAAAAAGCAGTAAGTGGGTTATACTTTCATGTCACGCTCATTAATGAAACATGGCCAGCATTATGTACATATATTAGTATCTTGCATAACTGCTGCATACGGAGATCTCTTCCATAGTTAAAGCACGACTGGTCTTCACAAAACATCACAGAAAGTGCAAAAGACAGTTTTCATACCAAAGTCACAAAACACCTTTGTCATTCTCTTTGCTCTGCAATTTCAGATCTACTACAAAATGAAGTGTCCATTATAGTAAAGCACTAGGCAAGGCAGGTTTCTTTGTATAGCACAATTCATATCCGAGGTAATTCAAAGTGCTTCACACAAAAGTATAAGAAGACAGATAAAATCAGTCCACAGAACATAAACACAATTATTAATTAATTACATTAAAAGCAAAGAGGCAGATAAAATCAATCCATAAAAACATAAATATAATCATTACTTAGAAGAGTACAGATCAAATACTTTCAGCTGTCATATGCACAACTACATAGAACTGTTTTCAGCCTGGATTTGAACATTGTCAGACTTGAGGCCTGTCTCACATCTTCTGAAATCCAGTTCCCGATTTTAGTTGCATAAAACTGGAACCTCACCGTGTTTAGTCCTGACTCTGGGCACCGGCAGGAGACCCCTCCCTGAGGTTCTCAGAGCCCGACATGGTTCATATGGCATTAACATGTCAGAGATGTGCTTTAGTGTTGGACCATGAAGAGACTTGTACACAAGCAAAGCGGTTTTAAAGTCAATTCTCTGAGCGACAGGAAGCCAGTGCAGAGACTTGAGCACTGGACTAGTGTGGTCGTACTTCCTGGTTCTAGTCAGGACTCGAGCAGCAGCGTTCTGGATAAACTGCAGCCGTCATACAGCTCGTTTAGAGAGGCCAATGAGCAGGCCGTTACAGTGGTCTAACCTGCTGGAGACATGGATTAGTCTCTAACTCTGGCTTAGACACTATATATTTGATTTTGGCAATGCTTTTTAGATGACAAAAAGCTGCTGATGTTATTGACTTAATGTGGCTATTAAATTTCAGGTCTTAGTCCATTACTATACACTACATACGAGAGGAAAACAGAGACTAATAACTCAGATTAATGAGACTCACAAACAATTATTCCAATCCAGGTTTTTTTTTTCTTTTGCAAACGTTAACAGAAGCTGAAGTTTAGTTTGTCCAGCTGTTTGTAGGAGTCTTTCCTCGGAATTTATTAAACACCTGCAGCATCAAAGTGCATTAAGATCCATATGAGCATCTTTACTGTTGGTGAAGTAGTAGTCAGGATATCATCACACATGGACAGAATTTTTAGTGGTTAGGAAATTATACATAAATTATTTTCGCTATTTGTACAGTTTGATAAGCTGCTGTTAGTTTAGCTTTAGCCTTGTGCTTATGATTGCTTTATTATGTCGTATACATCACTTGATATACTGTCTGATGTCACCTGTATGACAAATACAGACTAACGTGGCAGAAATGTTACCTATCCCATGTCTGAAAGCGCTCACGAATCTATAGTGTCAACATGAGCATACCAACGTGCTTAATATGACAATACCAACACTGTGACGTTATAATACCAACCATGCGCACCACCTTAGTTTAGCTAATTAGCAACAAAAACACAGCAGCTCATCAAAGTACTGGTCAAATGAAAGTATTGAGCCATTTACTGCACTGGAGGGGCAGTCACATTATTACCAATGTGACAGTTATCGAGTGTTTCAATCTGGACCAAAGCGATGGCCAGACAGATGGCCATGCTGCTATTGGGACTAAAAACACAGAACTATGTGAAGCAGAACTATCAGCAAATGTGAACCTGATTGTCCAGTTGGAGAAACAATGCCCGACAAGCCCAAGCGCCATTTACAGAACTGACCTGTGTGGTATTCGACTGTAAAGATAACATGAAAAGCTATCGAACAGAGTAATGGATGTTCCGTCGAACTATTTCCAGAGAAACAATGGAGGGAACCAGACGAATGACATATTTCTGCTGAGGGGGGTGTGGCAAGTCACAAGAATCTGACTCAGCAGATGGCGTCTCTTCATCCTCATCCACTGAGGGGAAATTTACAGGTAAATTGACACCGGAGTAATGAAAGTAAGCACTCGCATGCCTAAAATACTGCTGCGTCTGTGGTTTCCATTGTTATTACAGCAAACAATTAGGTGCAGCAAACGTGAAGCCATTTGTTTTAATGAAGAAAAATGCAGGTTAATTGCATAATTTTTTTTTTTTTTTTTAAAGTGGATTGTTGGCCCCTTTTATCTGAAATAAACTGCGTATTTGATGAGCCATGATTAATCTGAAGATGGGTGGGCTACATTCAAACCCCCTGATGGACAGTTTGGAGGATGACAGCTCCTGTGTCCACTCCATTTCACTAAAGCATTGAGAAAACTCATTCAGCACTTTCAACTTCTAGCCATCCCTGTCAAAGTGGGAACTACCAAGTCCTGTCATCATCTGTCAGCGTCTTGACTCAGTGAACCCTCACCAACCTGACTTGTCTGTCTGACAGAACAGAAAGGAGTAAAACCAGGAAGCAGGTCAGCCGGGAATGTGCAGTTATCTAATCCAGCCATGTCACACCAGCATATTGCAGTTTACGCTCAAGAGCATGATTGTTGGAGGAATTAGAGGCCAGGCTGGACACGTAGTGGCAACAGACAGACCTAACATTTGTGTGCCGAGTTCATTACATGGAGGGAACAAGCTGTGACCATTTCTGAGCCTATTCCCCAAACGCCGGTGTGTTTACACAGCTATATTTACCAGTCTCATATTCAGAAGCTGCTTGGGGAATTTAAAGTGTGACGGCCTCCATCTGGGGAATGCATTTGGTGCTGGGGTGCTGCTGCTGCTGCTGCTGATGATGATGATGATGTGGCTGCACTGCTTTGTTAACAAACCAGATGACTAATAATGTAATAATGTGGGGAAAAAAGGAAAAATGTGTGTACATCCTGGCAGTTTTTAATATGTGCAGGATCCCGAAGGAAATATCCGAAAGCACAAAGAGGCATCTGCACATCACACGCCTTCAATAATTCTGATTTATAAATATTTGCTGCATCCTTTTAATCCGTCACGGGCTGCGTGATCAGATTGAGGAAGACGGAAACACTGCAATAAATTATTAAAGTTATTATGAGACTATTAGATAGTGTGAGGATTTGATGTTTGTTTTTAGGTTAATGTACCCATGGAAACTGGAAGACAACCTCATTTCTTGTTGCCAGCCAAACATAAATACAAACACTTGATACAGTATACATCAGTGTGCATGCAAGGAATGTAGATATCGACATATCTACGTCTGCATCTCATACTGTGTTGCACACTTTGCCGGTTTGTTCACGGTAATTTTTGTTATTTATCCCTCGACGTCTAACACTGCTGTGTGAAATCACCAGTAAACCTTTCAACCCTTCGAACCCCAAAAGTAGGTTTGAAATTGTTAGCAACTGGACTTGCTTGAGTTCCTTGAAGACGTTTCACCTCTCATCCAAGAGGCTTCATCAGGTCTGACTGACAAGTTGGGAGTTCCAGATATCCTTAAGGAGACGTTAACACCTGAGTTTCGGTTTCAGCTGGGGGCTGCCACATGGTAAACACCACACCCACACCTAGCCACAAAAGACCCTAACAAACCCCATTGTGGCAGGGGGAGCACTAACAACTCACATAACGAGGGGGAGGAGCAACAAACCCCCAGCTGAAACCAAAACTCAGGTGTGAATGGCTCCTTAAGAATATCTGGAACTCCCAACTAGTCAGTCGGAACTGATGAAGCCTCTTGGATGAGAGGTGGAACGTCTTCAAAGAACCAAGCAAGTCCAGTTGCTACGATTAATCTACCAGAGTAACCATGACCTGGATGACTGAGACTCTTCACAGACGAAAAATTGAGAACAAAAAGAATCCGACAGTCCTTGAACTACTCATCTGTGATAAACTTTTCCATCAGGAAACTTGAGCAAATCTACACGTTAAATCGTGATAATTCATCAAAATCACTTTGTTCAAACTCACTTAGACCACTCGAATCATATTCTGTGAAAAATGTGTTCTTTAATGCAACTATGAAATCATTTATCCATCAGCAGCGATCAACAGTTAAATTACAAAAACGAGGGCCTTTTTGACTGAACTGGTCTGAACTGCAGGCTGCAGTTACGCAAAGCACATAGAAGACAATTTCTAAAACGAATTAAAAACATAAGTAGTTAAACATCTTAAGGATGTTGACTAACTATTTTTTCTAGTGTTGCCAGCAGCTATGGTCAGATAAGAGTATTATGCAGCAGGTTATTTCCAATTTTTCCATTTTTGAGCTCTCTCTACTTCTAGTCATGGTTGTACTGCTTCCATAGAGGGGCAGGACTTTATATTGCAGTGAAAAATTAGTCTACTGTGACTGAAAATGTGACAGGAGCAAAAAAAAAAACAAAACACAGAACCTGGATGGGGTTCAGAGAGTTACAAACAAACCCCGCCTGCCGTTCCAACCTACCATGATGATGTCTCGATAGCTCTGGATGCTGCTGACTGTGCCGGCGGAGGTAGCAGAGACGAGCTCCTCTTCCTCCTCTCCTTCCTCGCACTCATCCTCTTCCTCCGTGGCCTCGTAGCCTTCGTCAGGACAGGAGTCACTCTCGGTTTCCTCGGTGTTGGTCATCATGTCGATGAGGCGCTCCAGCGGAGGGCTGAGTTCGCGCTCTTCGTTTTGTTTGAGGCCGTAATCCAGAGCTTTGTAGATCATGACGCCCAGTGAGTCAATAACCTGCAGGAGATGTTGAAGGTTATTATGATGCAAAGGAGAATAAACCGATTTTACTTTGGTCCTAGGCTAAAAAAAAAAAAAGTTGATTTCATTTCATTTTATACAGAACAGTATAAGATTTTGTTCAGTTTTTGTGGATGTATTTAGAGTCTTTGATCACAGTTATAGTCTCAACAGGGATTGATCTATCCATATATACACACACACAAAATGTTAAGGCTGAAATTCACTGTCTCAAACAATAAGAACATGAATGGAGCAGTTATTCTCCCTGGCATGTCTGTTCAGTGCTATTTTTGCAAATGCTGAATAAGGTAAATATCATTAAGGTGAACACAATTCAGTAAACCTACAGAACTTCACTAATCTAGCCAGGGTATATCTATATTTTTTAAAAAGCCTCTCCTGTCCTCTGAAATGTGTTTACTCGCTGTTAAGTTAGGCAACATTATGTTCTTTCCAGCTAACTGTCTGTTCTAATTTTTTTGTTCCCTCTGCCCTTACTACTCTATAATTAATAGCATACCAGCACATCCTCATGGAACGACCCAATTTCCTCGAATCCCTGTCCTAGATAGACAAACAACCCAATGCTTAGTTCACCTGAACAAACAAGAAGACAGTTCATGTCCTCACACCAGATCTGAAAGGAGGTCAGTGTTCCTCCAAACATAGTGATCGTCGTCATAATTTAGGGATGATTTCATTGCATCATTCATTCGTCTCATCAGTAAGCAGGATACGACCTTTACTTCTAACAGCTTAATTAAGCTCATCTTAATGTTTTAAACTACCAGCACATTATTATTATGATCATTACTATTGGGTGTTGGTAAGCCAGATGACCTAAAAGTTCAGCACATGGCAGTCAGCCTGAATCAACCACTGGAATTATCCGGTAGTGGATCTGTACAGGCCACTGGTTTCAAACAGTACAGTACGGTGAAACATACTGGTATTTAAGCACTAAACCAATACTTGATGCAAAGTTTATGGTGACTGAAAATGCAAAGGTCATCATCACCTCCACCAAGAAGGTTATGATGTCATTGCTGTATATCTGTCTATCAGTAAGAAGGATGAAGAGATGGAGCACTGGCAAAAAAAGGGGCCTGTTAAATCTTGGTGTCTGCACATAGAAGACTATGTCAAGGGTCGAAGTAACTTTTGAACCATATGCACAGTTTTCACAAATGAGGCAACACTACATTCTTTGGATCAAGTTGAGTTCAGAGTGACCCACAACCTCAAACTTGAGTGTTTCTTGGTTCTTGAAGAAAGAAAGAAAGCCGAGAGACTTTGCTGAACATCAGGGCAGTGAACGTCTTGTGATTTGGACCAACTACATCAACACGGAGTCCGATCGGAGACTACACCGGCAGTTACAACAGCTTCATTCCACAAGCTCTCAGAATGCTGAACTGCTGATCCGGACATGCAAACACTTCTTTATTTAATTGCTTTTAGTTTTTGGATCCTGAAGAAACGTTCTCTCATCTTGTTTGTACTACTGTTGTATGTACAGCAAAATGACAATAAACCTGATTTGATTTGAACCTTCAGGACACAAAAAGAGAAGTCCCGTTGACTTAAAATCTACACAGACACTGTGGCCTAAATTGTTAACAAAACTGATCCAGATGATCTTCCAACCAGGCTTCACAGAAGTATTCATATGAATTTTGTTTTTTGAACGCATTTCTTCATCACAGCCAATCAAAGCTGCAGTGAACAATCCAAACAACAGGTGAAGTCATATCTCAGCAACACTCTGATCGATGAGGAAACACCAAAATTATTGTTGCAGTTGATCACTAGGGAGTGACTGCAATAAGGAAAAATGTGTTTTCCAGAAATAACAGCCTTTAACGGTGGATGATGGTTTTGTTTGCACGTAGAAAAGAAAAGTGGACGACTGGTCTTGGCCAAGGCCTACGCTCTATAAGTGCACATCTAGCTACTAATAAAGAGGAAAAAAAACATCTTTTTACGTTTATGCAATAGAACTGTCACTAATTTCTTTAAGTTCAGCACTAAAACTGACACTTCAACCTCTTTAACTGCTTCAGTTAATACTTTAAACACTTTAAACACTTCAGCTATTTCAAAAGGCTTCAATAACAAATAGTCAACAGCAAACACATATTTTTCCTTTAGAAAGTTTTGCCTTTACTAGTAACTTCTATGTCTTGTGTTTTTTTTCCCATGTAAATGTTATTTATGAGGATTAATCCATTAACTAAAACAGCTCTGACTCACTACTGTACTGCCAGTTCTTTTCCAAAGCGACATTGTTGAGAAAGGGAGGTGCTCAAACAAAACATACTGTTGATGCGGGTGAAACTATCGTTGATGGGCACGGCTGGCTACGCTTGGCTTTAGGTGCAGGGACGGCACAGCACCTGTCTGTTGAGTCTGGGAGTGTACTAAACAGACGGGAAGGGTGTTGACTGAGCATGTTTGGGTTCATGAGCTTCTCCAGCTGAGGCAAAAAAAAACCATTACATAATTCACATGCCATATAAAGTGGAAGCGACGCCCATGTAATAGTTTCACAAGGATGTTTCCTATAAAATGCTTTTGATCCTCTGTGAGGCATGACGCTCTCTGAAAATCATGCAGCTGCAAAATGTAAGCTTTTATTAAGCTAATACACATAGCTCCTGTTTTGAGGTTAGTTATAACACATTGTTTTAGGAAATTCATGATTTTTAAATTGGTTAGTCTATACTAACTGCTGTACTTCTGCAAAAATGACACATAATGCATCATCTCATTGTAAGTATCAGTTTTTTCTCTGCATTAAGGTGCAGACACATTATGGTACTAACTAGTCTGACTCAGGGCTTCAAGGTGGA